GGTTGGTGGTCGTGAGCGGGAATCGAACTCGGGTCGCCGGGTTCGTAGTGCGGTGCGCTAACGGTTACGCTACCGCTCCCTATAGCACCGATACACCACCACCTGCGTTTATCCGATAAAAGGGTTAAACTGTGGTGATTGTGTCGATAGACATTTTTACAATGCGGTTACCGGTAATGCAAAACCCAAATTTCAACAGCGCTGTTGGCATATTAACGCTGGGTGCTGCGGTGGCTAGGAGATGTCAACTACCTCGCCTGGTACACAGGAGGTCGTGGGTTCGATCCCGATCCCGACCCTGACGCCTGCTGCTGTATATTTGGAGCTTGCGTCTCTCTTTCTCTCCTCGTGGTCGCGTGGATTTTTCTCAGGTCCTCCGCTTTTTCCCTCCACATTTATAATCGACGTCGCGCGTTTAGAGTACCTTGGCTACTGCTATAACTATCCACGTGGCGATGATGATGATGATGAGCCCGCTTCGTTGAGCTGTCACTTGTGGCCAGGTCGCTTCTGACAAAGAGCTGTATAGCTCAGTGGGGCCTTACCTGGTGGAATAAAAATGAGGGGTTTTTTTTCGTTTAGAATGAAGATTTTTTTGGGTTGGGCCACGTCACATTCTGGCCAATTTGTGTCACAAAACCCTCCACCACCCTACGCAGGGCGACTGCCCGGAAAGTCACCAATTAGAATTGTGTTTCTTTTAAGGCCGCAAAGATAAATACCCCCCCCCCAACCCGCGTATCCTAAACAGATTGTTGGTGCAAGTGCTGATAGCAGCACCTATGTAGCGGGCACCGTGACGACAGAGACGGTTGAAGTAGAGGCAACACGTATTTATTACAGCTTCACACTCGAATTGGTAACGGCCTCTTCACCTGTTACTCTCAAGGGAGGTATTCCCAATCTGACTCGCCTACTCCCCACCTATACCACGACCCTCCTCGCAAGGAGGCTACCTGACCTGGCCCAGCCAAGGCACAGGTCTCGACCACCAGCCACACGAATCCAGCCCTCACAAGGACATCGGCTCCGAGGCTCTGGGTCGCACCACTGGCTTGCTCTGCCCGGTGCTTAGAAGGGCAGCGGGTCAGAGGAGTCCCAGGATCTAGCGAGCTGGACTTCGGTCTTCAGCTGGTTCTTCGTCTTCGGCTTGTTCGAACTCCCCTCTCTCTCTCAGGGTCTCGCCTTTTATACAATTCCCCACCGAGGGGCGGGGTTCTGTGGGATCACACACCCCCCACAGCCCCCTCCCCCGGGAGGGGCCCCGGCTCGGGATATCACAACCGCCCCGCACCGGTAAGTAATGGGAGTTAGCGGAGCTGGTGTGCGCGCGTTTCAATACCACATCTTTAAATGCCGACGCAGCACACGAGGGGGTGGATGGCCAGCACCACGCCGCCTCTCTCTCCCCAGCGGCGATGTTTAGACACCGCACCAGGCACTCGTTTGACGCCGAGTAGACCTCGGCGTGGCCCCGACTGGCTCAGGTAATTATCGTGATTGGTGGCAGTGAGCGGGAAATCGCAACATGCAAACATGTTTTGCGTGCCTGGATATTTTTTTGCAATTTGCACGTCCTGCTGCGTTCGTTTCTGACCCTTATGCAATATCAAGGGACCTTTGATACTGGCAAAAATGTATCCCATGATAGAGCTACTCACCCCGAGCTAGACATGATCTCATACGTTCATTGTCCTTGTGCTGTTCGCCTTTGGGCGATCTCTGGTCTGACACCGGTGAGACGAGGCCACCAAGAAGGCTGCTGTGGTGGAGGGCAATCAGTCAAGGTGGAGGGCAATCGGTCAAGTAAAATATCTAAACGCGCGACGTCGATTCTAAATGTGGAGGGAAAAAGCGGAGGACCCGGAGAAAAATCCACGCGACCACGAGGAGAGAGACATGCAAACTCCAAATATACAGCAGCAGGCGTCAGGGTCGGGATCGAATCCACGACCTCCTGTATACCAGGTGAGGTAGTTGACATCTCCTAGCCACCGCAGCACCCAGCTTTAATATGCCAACAGCGCTGTTGAAATTTTGGTTTTGCATTACCGGTAACCGCATTGTAAAAATGTCTAGCGACACAATCACCACAGTTTAACCCTTTTATCGGATAAACGCAGGTGCTATGGGGAGCGGTAGCGTAACGATTAGCGCACCGCACTATGAACCCGGCGACCCGAGTTCGATTCCCGCTCACGGCCACCAACCCCGGTGACGATTATCTGACCAATGCATATATAATTATGAAAGCATGTTTGTTTGCATGTAGACCACAAGTACTGTGTGGTTATTGCAGACTGGATTCCTTGCAAAAGGTTTCTATTTGGTGTTTGCACACCTTAACACCTCATATTCTTATTTTTCATACATTATGTAATAGTTTGTTGAAATCCCGTGCCAAAGTAATTCTCTGGACAATCGCACGGCATCGTTGTATGGACTGTACATGATTTATTTATCAGTTGGAAAATTAAAATCTCCGTGGGCGAGAAAATTAAACTTTGGGTGGGAGAGAAGCGAGGGTTGTACCATCGGACACTCCACCCCCACAACTCCCAATTGGTGATAGGGCAGTTGTGGAGAAAGTGGAGAGTTTCCCATACCTGGGCAGTGTGCTCATGACAGCAGAGGTCTCACTCCGAATCAGTCGAGTGGCATGATCTTTTCATCGGTTGCATAACGCTGTGTGCAAGCTACCTGGTCTGTCGCTCCGCACGAAGCTTCAGATCTTCTCGGCCACGGTCATTCCCTCCCTTCTCTACGCTTGCGAAACGTGGACCCCCCTCAAGGAACATCTTCGCCGGTTACAAATATTTAGGCTGGCCTGCCTACAATCCATCCTGGATTTAACCAGGCTGGATTGTGTGAGCTCATAAATCCTTGAAAGATCTGGACAAAGTCCCATCGGAGAGCTCCTCTGGCAGGCAAGGCTGCGTTGGCTGGGACATGTAGCCTGCATGCCCAGCCACCGCATGCCTAAACAGCTTTTGTTCGGCCGGATCGAGGGGGCTAAACGGGCGCGGCACGGGCTAGAGAAGAGATGGAGTGATGTGGTGCAGGAGGACGTGGAGCTGAGTGGACTTGCCGATGACTGGTACCAGCGGTGTCAAGATCGGCCTCTGTGGAGGAGGCACGTGAAGGACGCTACTGGGCAGTTGGAGGCAGTCGCCCTCCAACAACAACGGAGGGCGGAGGAGCGACGCTCACAACAACGAGCGGAGCACCGGGTGGCTAAAGCACAGCAAGTTGGTACAGTAGGGGGCACAGGTGGTGCATCAGCCAGTCATCTCAGTCAGTCGACCCGTGGCACCTGGGTCTGCCCCGTGACCTCCTGCCAGCGGGCATTCGACACTTCACGTGGCCTCAACATGCACATAGCCTGGCACAAGTGTCGTGGTGATGTCGCCACCACTTAGTGGCGAATGGCGGTTGTTGTTGTGTGTGGTCTGTGTGAGTGGTCTGTGCGAGTGGTCTGTGTGTGAGTGGTCTGTGTGTGTGTATGGTCTGTGAGTGTGTGGTCTGTGTGTGTGTATGGTCTGTGTGTGTGGTCTGTGTGTGAGTGGTCTGTGTGTGTGTATGGTCTGTGAGTGTGTATGGTCTAGTGAGTGTGTGGTCTGTGTGTGTGTATGGTCTGTGTGTGTGGTCTGTGTGTGAGTGGTCTGTGTGTGTGTATGGTCTGTGTGTATGGTCTGTGAGTGTGTGGTCTGTGTGTGTGTATGGTCTGTGAGTGTGTATGGTCTGTGAGTGTGTGGTCTGTGTGTGTGTATTGGTCTGTGTGTGTGGTCTGTGTGCGAGTGGTCTGTGTGTGTGTATGGTCTGTGTGTGAGTGGTCTGTGTGTGTGTGGTCTGTGTGTGTGTATGGTCTGTGAGTGTGTGGTCTGTGTGTGTGTATGGTCTGTGTGTGTGGTCTGTGTGTGAGTGGTCTGTGTGTGTGTATGGTCTGTGTGAGTGTATGGTCTGTGTGTGTATGGTCTGTGTGAGTGGTCTGTGAGTGTGTGGTCTGTGTGAGTGTGGTCTGTGTGAGTGGTCTGTGTGTGTGTATGGTCTGTGTGTGAGTGGTCTGTGTGTGTGTGTATGGTCTGTGTGTGAGTGGTCTGTGTGTATATGGTCTGTGTGTGAGTGGTCTGTGTGAGTGGTCTGTGTGTAAGTGGTCTGTGTGTAAGTGGTCTGTGTGTGTGTGTATGGTCTGTGTGTGAGTGGTCTGTGTGTGTGTGTATGATCTGTGTGTGTGTATGGTCTGTGTGTGAGTGGTCTGTGTGAGTGATCTGTGTGTAAGTGGTCTGTGTGTAAGTGGTCTGTGTGTGTGTATGGTCTGTGTGTGAGTGGTCTGTGTGTGTGTGTGTATGGTCTGTGTGTGAGTGGTCTGTGTGTGTGTGTATGGTCTGTGTGTGTATGGTCTGTGTGTGTGTATGGTCTGTGTGTGAGTGGTCTGTGTGAGTGGTCTGTGTGTAAGTGGTCTGTGTGTAAGTGGTCTGTGTGTGTATGGTCTGTGTGAGTGGTCTGTGTGTGTGTATGGTCTGTGTGAGTGGTCTGTGTGTGTAAGTGGTCTGTGTGTAAGTGGTCTGTGTGTGTAAGTGGTCTGTGTGTAAGTGGTCTGTGTGTAAGTGCTCCGTGCGAGTGGTCTGTGTGTAAGTGGTCTGTGTGTGAGTGGTGTGTGTGTAAGTGGTGTGTGTGTGTGAGTGATGTGTGTGTGTGTGGTCTGTGTGTGTGTATGGTCTGTGTGTGATTGCTCTGTGTGTGTGTGCTGCGCGTGATGTCACCGCGCAGGTCGAATCAGCCACTGCTGCCCCGCTCTCTCTCTCTCTCTCTGACGTCGATTCGGTCTGCACCCGGCGTGCTGCTCGGCACGACGTCCGACGTTTCGCTCCAGCGCCGGGGGGTTTCTTTCAAGAACCCAATTCTAGTTTGAATCAACGGTTCCTGATGAAGCTCCCGGCACGTGACGCAAAACGTCGGACGTCCTGCCCGACCGTACGAACACGAAGCGGAAAAGTGCATATTTAAAATTATCTTCTCTTTAATTGATTTACGGCTGCCCTTTTGGCGCAGGCTGCCATGGCAAGAGTGGCAGCTGTCTCCGTCTGGCGAGGCCATCGGCGGAGGTGTTGTTCGACGGTTACCACACGATACAACCACGAACGCACACCGATGTCGCGGACGTACTAGCACCCGCCACAGGAATTTGGGATTTCCACCACTTTCTCTGGAGGGTGAGGTCACATGCTAACTTGAAAGGAGAAACCACTTTGATCAAGAGTCACAGAGGTGTCAAGTGTAACACAACTATAAATAATATTTGGTCCTTTAATATATTTGTTGCCGAAGGCCTAGCCGGCACGTCACCAGGTGTGTACGTACGTTGAACTTCTTCATGCTGATCGGAATCAAGCGGTTCTAAAGACATGGCTGTTACAATCTTGATGATTTCAAAGTGCAAAGCTCCCAGTGGTTTCCTAATATCGGATTGAAGAGCGTTCCAGACGGCCGCAGAACCGCATCTGAGAGCGCACGCAATGCGGTGCGCGTTGATGGGTTGGCGGGATACAGGGCGGCGTTGTTTGACCGTACTTCGCCACCCTGGTCAGCAGTACGGGTTGGTGAAGGGCGGGTGAAGGGCGGGTGAAGGGCAGGTGAAGGGCGGGTGAAGGGCGGGTGAAGGGTTGGTGAAGGGTGGGTGAAGGGCGGGTGGAGGGCGGGTGAAGGGCGGGTGAAGGGCAGGTGAAGGGTGGGTGAAGTACGCCAGGACCGAGGTTCACATATCACTCGCCGCCGATGTCAGCCGCGTCCGGAAATCAAATTCGGGTCGCCACGTTCCAAGTGCAGTGTTTCTCACCGCTGCACCCTTTGATTGGAAAGGGACTGGAGGCGGGCGGTGCAGGGCGGGGCAGGGCGGTTGCGTGCAGCAGCAGTGGCCATGCAAATCAACCAGGGAGGGGGGGGGGGCCTTGGGCGACGACGAGAGGCCACCGTGCCACGCGTTTTGTCAGCTCCCGAGTTGCAGCTCCACGTGACTCAAAATCTCCTGCAGCTGAGTGTCCAGGTCGCCGTCCGGTGCGTCGTTCCGGATGTTCCAGTCCCACTGCACTCCGGAATCCAGGCCGCACTCCGACTCCATGTCGTCGATCCCTGCACGGACAAAAGGCAGCTTGTGTCCTTAGCATCGATTGCAATTCAATTGAATCCATCAGATTCAGTCGAAATTGAAAACTCATTTCCAAATTGAAAACTCGTTTCTTCAGAACCGCTTCTTGCGTTGCGTTTGTTTGCCTTCCCCCGCACCACCGATTAGGACGGTTGGCTACGTACGGTGTGAAAGAAGTTCAACAAACATACGTACATCACACCTGTTTAAGAAGTCGGGGGTCAGGTGACACGGTTATTCTGACTTCCTGCATTTTATTCTAACTGCCTGGATTTGCATGTACAGGGCATTGCTTAGAATCCGCAGCAATTCAGAGCGGCTGATATCACATTTCATCTCGATCGTGTCAATGCCCTGCTGCAATCTTGCCAAGGGAACCCCCGGCGGCAGCTGTCCCTTTGTGACTCAAGGTGTTCGCTGGAGCGGACCGCAAATGGGAATTTCAACACGTAGGCTTTCGCTATCCAACACACCGGTGTGCTGTACGAGCAACGAATTGGCACGTTCTGTTTACGTGACAAACCTTACTAGTTGGCTGTGTTGGGTGATGGTGGGTTTAACGACCCACTTATATATTTACGCGATCTAACCCCCAAAAAAAAACCAGTTTTATAAACGGGCATTTGTCTGCAAGTAAGGGGCGATGTGGCTTCGTGTTCATCAATAATATTTTACTTTCATTTCGTAATTCATTCTTGGGCGAGGCCACGCAACGATGTGGCCACATTTGTTCACGTCAAGACCCCTAAACGCGGCAACACAAATTCTACCGCCGCACCGCGTAAAATAAAAACGCGCGCCGGATATTTTGATCGCTTCAGCTCCCTGGCCGGCGCGGCTTGGAGAAGGAGGATCCCCCTCGCAAGCCGCATTCAGCAGCGGCTCGACAAGCGACGATTCACTTCCAACAGCGCCAAGCATCTCTCTGGGGCAAGGCCTCGCAAGTCAAGAGGAACGACCCGGGGAGTCCGATATTCGGCCACATCACTACGCGGCCTTCATGCGCGAATCAATTGCGAACCGTGATATTGCCCGCGAACATCGACTCCTCGCTCAGACTGTTTGACTCGGCTGGTGATCCAGTGTGGGCCGCAGCATTCGTGGGGAGCAGGAGCGCTTGGCACGCTGCGGCTCTGAACCCGGTGGCCCGAGTTCGATTGCCGCTCACGACTACCAACACCAATGACTCCAGGGACTCCCCTAGGTCGATGCAAACTGAAATGAGTACCTGGTGCTGTGTGTAAACATAACCGCCACTGGGGAGACAAAGGCGGGCGGGCCTAGTGCTGGCTACCCACTGCATCGTGTGCCGTGCCGGCGTTCATAGGTGCTACTCGCTAGCGGCTCTTGTTCCAAAAGACTGTTAAAGGCTATACGAGGGATCTTTGTCTTTGTTGTCGCTGCATTAAAAGTAAAGAATTAACTCGAACACGGACGGCGTAGCGCCAACCAATCTTTATGTTCAAGTCGTCGTTTTGTCAATCCTGCTACCCCCCCGCGGCAGTGGTCAGAGGGGATTGTTTGGCCATACTTCACCGGTCACTGCACATTGGTGAAGCGTGGGGAGGAGGTCACACACCTGGGGAGCATACAAGTACTGTACAGTAAAACGATGGCTGTTGCTATACCACCCTCTCGCTGCCCAGAGCTCGATAGCCTCAAGCACCTGTTATGCACGACGGGTCACTCATTCAAGCAATTCTATCCGGCCTCAACCCCCCGCGAGGCTTGCGAGATCTGACGGGACCAGGTCACAGGTGCGCGGAGTCCCGGGTCAGAAATCGCTCGCCGCCGATGTTTAGCCACGGTCAGGAATGGGACTCGGCTCGCCGGATCCATAGCGTGCCGTGTGCCAACCACCACTCCCCGCCCGCGGCTTGATAACGATCGCTTGGTCGTGGATTTTTCCAGGCAGGTGGCCCGGCGACCCGAGTTCGATCCCCGACCGCGGCCGACATCGGCGGCTGCGAGTCCGTGAGATCGATTCCTGGACCAGAGGGAAGACCCAGCCAATCATCCCTCGCAATATTCGCCGCCCCCCCCCCCCAGCCGCAGGAATGTGGAATTTCCACCGCATGCCCAGGGGCTGTGCCTGAGAGGTCACAGTCAAATGCCTTAACTCTCATTCGAGTGGGAAGCGGATATTTTTCTTTTGAGTAATTATTGACTCCACGATGGTGAAAGCGGGGGCGAGTTTAATCGCGCGTGCGTAGGTCGGTGAGCTCCAGCACGAGGTTAATCTACTTTGTTGTTTCCACCGTGGCGCTTGGCAGAAGAAGTTGGCACAGTAGGGGGCACAGCTGGTGGTGCATCTGCCGGTCGTCTCAGTCAACCCATGGCACTTGCTGGGTCTGTCCCGTGACCTCCTCCTGCCAGAGAGCCTTTGACGCTTCACGTTGCGGCCTCAAAGATGCACCTGGCCTGGCACAGGCGCCGTGGCGACGTCACCGTGACTTAGTGGCGAATGGTGGACGTTGGTGGGCAAGCTGCGATGGTGCAGCGGTTAGCGCGCTGCGCATACGAATCCAGAGAAACAAAGTTCGATTCACGTTCATGAGCAACATCAGCTACTCCCGAACAGCACTCGGCCTCCGACAGTCCGTGAAGGTTATACAGGAACCTGTTATCTTTGCTGCTAGGCAACGGTGCTCCGGAGAAGGTTTTAAAGTTAAGCGAGGATCACGCTGACATTTTTTTTTCATCGTCTTGCACGCGCTCTTTATCTTTGACAATAAGAACGCGGATTTGTTGATATTTTTTGCGGTGGCGGCGTTGCTGTTTAGGGTATTTTTATGGGAACCAAGATAGCTTTGCCTGATACCCCCACCCCACCCCACACGTGCCAAACAGACCTTTGTCTTTCCGGTTATAAATACAGTTTGACGTTCCCGTCGCAAATGCCTTCTTTTCTTATTATTTGTTTTCTTTCCTTTTTCTTTATTTCTTATTTTTGTTCTCTTATATTTTTTCTTTTTTTCTTCTATACTCTTTGGGTCTTTCCGTAAAGTCACGTAGGTACAAAATAAATTAAATCACGACGTTTCGGGCGCAACACAAGTGCCCGTCATCAGGTGGAAACAACCACAGCAATAAACAATTGCTGAAGTGGGCAAAAGGAGAACTCAGCCAAAATGAATCCTTTGCCAACATTTTTTTCTTTTATTAATATTCTTTTTCTTTAGTCTTTCCTTATTTTTTCTGTCTTTTTAATCTTTCTTCTTTTAGTTTTCCTTTTTCTTTATTTTTTATTTTTGTTTTCTTCCATTTTCTTTATTTCTTCTTTTAGTTTTCTTTACATTTTTTTCTTTTTCTTTTCCTTTCCCCCCCCCACTCACTCAGCCAAAATGAATCCTTTGCCAACATTTTTTGTTCGAATCGTACGACGATTAGATTTGAGATTGCATCGATTTCAGCAGCAGCAGCAGCGGGGAAGCTTGGCCTGGGGAGCCGCTCGACTCGGTTATTTCGTGGGCGACCGGCGACGGCTCGGATGTTGCACCGTACAGATATTCGTTACGAGATACACTTTAAAAAAATGTATGCGGCTTGTTTTATATGGGAGAGTCTCCAGACACATTTTCAGGAGAGGTCCCTGCCAAACTTGTTTTCGCAGGAGGGGAGAGGTGAGAGGGAGGGGGAAGCGATGCTGCTGCTGCTGTGTGACCCCCTGACAGAGGAATTTTTCAGGGAATTCTTCAGCACTGGGGATGTTTTGGGTGAGATCACTTTCATTGTATGGAGGTGGGTGGGTGGGAGGGGGGTTCAGCCATGAGAGGACACCGGGGGAAATCGGGAGGAAATGCACGCAGAACATGGGCAGAGAGTGGAGAGCGGAGAGCGCGTACAGAACCCACGCAAGACAAAGGCTCCCCCCTCCCCCCCTCTCCCCCTCTCCCCCCCCAGGCCAGGAATCGAACCCTGGACCCTTCTTGTGCCGCGCGGCACAAATTGTTTACCTCCGTGCTGCCACAAACCCCGCTGACCGTTAAAAGTGATTCTTTGCCAATGCCGCGACTTACCGAGCGATTGCCCGCGGTTGGAGCATGCAACCACTTCATTTGTAATGGTTAATATCCAGTAGACATCTGATTGGTGATGACACCTATTTAAGAAGGCGGGTCAGGTGACACGGATAGTTTGACGTCCTGGATTTTCCTCGGGGCTTCCTGCATCTTGTACTAACGATGCCCTGGTGGCGTTGTAAACAAAAGCTCGTGAATATAATTGAGCTGAATATGGTTGTGAGAACTGCCCTTCAAACTTTCCCGTGAGCGAGTGGGTGCGTCAGCGAGTGGGAGTAACTGGGCGAGTGAGTGGGTGAGTGGATTAGTGAGTTTGTGTGTGAGTGTCTGGGTCAGTCAGTAGGTGTGTGAGTGAGTGGGTGCATCAGTGAGTGGGAGTGTGAGTGAGTGGGTGAGTGGATTAGTGAGTTTGTGTGTGAGTGTCTGGGTCAATCAGTAGGTGTGTGAGTGAGTGTGTGGTATTACAGTGGTTAGCACGCTGTTCCACTAACCTGAGTTCAATTCCCACGCACAACCAATAAAGTGGAGAATATCTGAGCCAGTTCTGGACCTCCCCCCTAAACATGGCCACCCACTCCCTCGTTGCTGTGCCAGCACTCCATAGGTGATACTCGCTAACAGCACTTGCCCCAACAGTCTGGTAAGGCTATACGGGGATCTTTGTCTTTGTGTGAGTGTGTGGGTTGGTTGGTGAGTAAGCGAGTGGGTGGGTGAGTTAGCGAGCAGAAACATAAAAAACCTGCCGCGTCGTTCAAGGCCTGTGCCCGTGACGTGGGCGACTTGGGGCCGATTCCCGTGTGGCCCCCAAGCTGTGAACTCACTGCCACCTCGGGTCCCCAAGCCGCGACTCTCGGCTCATTCTAACCCCCCCCACCCGCCTTAACACCGATGTCTTTTCATTTGCTCACTATGGTTTAGCTTCACCTTTGGGGTGTTTATACCATGTGGCAAGGTGTTCCTATCACAAGCCTGCACGCTTAGAGTAGGAGTTTACTGGGTTTCATTTCCTTGTTATAATTGTATTTTTTTTTGCATCAACAGCACTTTGCGATCTCCGGATGAAAGGTGCTTTAGGAGTAAATGACTATTCATCTGTTTGGCTGTGTCGGGTGGTGGAGGGTTTTATGATACAGATTTGGCCAAAGCATTACGTGGCCTAACCTAAGCATTACGGAGTGCCATGGTGGCGAGATGTTAACTACCTCGCCTGGTATACAGGAGGTCGTGGGCTCGATCCCGACCCCGACGCCTGCTGCTGCTGCTGTATATTTGTAATTTGCGTGTCTCTCTCCCTGTGCTCGCGCAGATTTTCTCCGGCTCCTCCAGTTTTCCCTCCACATTTAGAATCAACATCACGCTTTTTAGAGTATTTGGTTGCAATACATTTGCACACGACGAGCCACTTCGCTGAGCTAACATCCGTGGCCAGGTCGCTTCTGAAAAACAGCTACATAGCTCAGTGGGCCTCCTTACTTGGTAAAAAAAAAAAATAGCTTAGTTTATAAAACAATTATGCTTTTAAAACTAAATGTATTTACATATTACGATAGTTAGACGTCAATTATCTCCGGGGGCGGCAGTTGAACCAATCGTGCGAGTCTCTATCGGGGCTCTCCGCGTGGGCGACACGCGTCACGGCAAGCGGCGGCAGCGGCCCGCCGGTGGCGAAGAACAACGGAGCGGCAGCCGAGCAGCGGCGGACCGAGCGTGGGAAACACTCGCAAACCCCGGCCTGCTCCTCCACAGCGGCGCACACACAGGTGGCGGGGGAACAGAAGTGAGCAGCAGGATGCGACGGTGGTGGTGGTGATGTCATTGTAAGTGCTGTTAGCGAGTAGCACCTATGAAGGCCAACAGGGCACATGAGGGGGTGGGTGGCCAGCACCACGCCAGGTCGCCTTTGTCTCCACAGTGGCGATGTTTTTGTTCACATCGCCACTAGGTACTAAATTGAGGCTGAGTCGACTTAGGGGAGACCCATGACCGGTTCAGATAATCGTCACTGGTGTCGGGTGGCCGTGAGCAGGAATCGAACTCGGGTCGCCGGGTTCGCAGCGCAGCGTGGCGCTAACCGCTGCACTGTCGCTATACGGTGGCATCTTTGTCTAAGGTGGGGGGGTAATGGTGATGCAGGCGATGGTGTCACCGCGGACGCGCCTGCCGTGAACACCCATCCTCGCTTCCGCCTCGTGCCGTCGGAGGCCGAGACCCGCACGGTGCGCGTCACCGCGCCGTGGTGGCGAGCGAACCAATCCACGTCCGATCGGCGTCGCGCGTCGCTGATTAACTGCAGGGCCGGGGGGAGGGGGAAGGGTGGAGCAGGGGAAAAGAAGGGTACAATGTGCATGTCAATAAAACACAGGCAAAGATAAAGCCCCGTGCAGCCCTTGTACGTATGCATGTTGAACGTCTGTCGCACCGTACGTAGCCAAACGTGCTAAGCGGAGGTGCGCGGGAAGGACAACCAACGAAACACAACAAGCAGCTCTAAGGAGATGAGTGTTCACGTCGGGGCAAGTGGTGTTAGCAAGCGCCGAGGGCGTGGTGTGGCCAGAGCCAGGCATCCCGGTACAAACACGGCCACGAAGACAAAGATCCCCCCCCCCCATAGCTTTCACGGACTGTTCAGGCAAGTGCTGTTAGCGAGCAGCACCTATGAAGGCCGGCACAACACACGAGGGGGTGGGTGGCCAGCACCACGCCCGGCCGCCTTTGTCCCCACACTGCTGACGTTTGCACACCGCACCGGGTACTCGTTTCAGGCTGAGTTCGACCTCCGGGGGAGGCCCCGGACCGGTTCAGAAAACCGTCACTGCTGCTGTTGGCTGCGAGCGGGAATCGAACTCGGGTCATCGGGTTCGTGACGCAGTGCGCTAACCGTTGCTCCACCTCTTTCCACACACACGCACACACGCACACACACGCACACGCACACACACGCACACACACACGCGCACACACACACACGCACACACACGCACACGCGCACACACACACACGCACACACACGCGCGCACACACAAGCGCATGGCATACACATGTATGGACGCGGACGGAGATGTTCAGTGGAGACTTTTCAGCAAGAGATGTTAGTGAGCACCTATAAAGAGGCATGAGGTGGTGTGGGGTGCGGTGGGGTGCAGTCAGCACCACGTCTGGCTACCCTTTGTGTGCCAACGTTTGTACAACCATATCAGGTACTCATTTAAGGCTGAGTCCACCTTGGGGAGGCCCAGTGGGGGAAGGGGGGGGGTGCAGCGCACTCACCACTCAGCCACCGATGATCTAACCCCTGTGCCGCTCTCTCTGTTCCACTGATGGACAATGAGAACTGACCCCGAGAGCGACTGTGGTTGCTAACCTCAAACCACAGTCCACGCACATAGAGACACACAGACTCACAGACTCACATAGACACCAATAGGCTCACATCGAGACACAGACTCACATAGACACCCATAGGCTCACGTCGAGACCCAGACTCACATAGGCTCACATCCAGACCCAGACTCACATAGACACCCATAGGCTCACGTAGATACACAGACTCACATAGGCTCACGTCCAGACCCAGACTCCCATAGACACCCATAGGCTCACGGAGAGATCCAGACTCACATAGACACCCATAGGCTCCCGAAGAAATACACAGACTCACACAGACACCCACAGTGGAAGAGACAGTGGCCCAGTGGTGAGACCGTCGGTGGCTAAGTGGTGAATGCACCGCACTGTGAACTTCATTCTCAGCGGCGTACATCTACACGCACCTCCGATTAGCACGGCTACGTGCGGTGCTCAAGTTCAACATACACACGCACATGCCAAGCGTGTTCGGCACCAACCCAACTTTCCACCGGAATCATCGGTGGCCGGATCCTGACTCACGGAACGGTGGGGGAATGGGGGGGGGGGGCAACCGATTCTGAAAATGCGCACCGGGGTTTACTGCCGACCCCGTCGTTCGACAACCCCAAGAGGGGGCCCCCCCCATCGCTGGTCGCGGCAGCAGCTACCTCCTCCTGCAGCAGACTTCCCAGCAGCAGCTGAGCGCGCACACGTCATCACGTGACCCAGTTCCCAGTCCGTCCTAACGCTGGCGCAGGAAGGACCTCGCTTCGATAAATCAGCCATCAACTCTCACGCCAACCGCGCTTCCTTTCTGCGTAAATCCCCTCTCCCCCCCCCACCGACCACGTGCATGCACGTGCGTCTGTTAGCGCCACGTGCGTCTGTTAGCGCCGCGTGCGTCTGTTAGCGCCGTCTGCGTCTGTTAGCGCCACGAGCGTCAAAGCTCGACGTTTAAGGCTTATGCCGATGCACAAAGTCAGAGGAGTGGATCAGGGGCAGGTGGTGGTGGAGGAGGGGGGAGACGATGTGAAATGTAACATTCAAACGGTACAGAACAGGTGGAGAGAATGTAGAGACTCCACTCACTCACTGCAGAATAGGAGAAGATCATACAAACTCCACTCACTCTCACTCTGCAGAACAGGGGTGGATCATACAAACTCCACTCACTCTGTAGAACAGGAGGAGATCATACAAACTCCACTCACTCTGTAGAACAGGGGGAGATCATACAAACTCCACTCACTCTGTAGAACAAGGGGAGATCATACAAACTCCACTCACTCTCACTCTGCAGAACAGGGGTGGATCATACAAACTCCACTCACTCTGTAGAACAGGAGGAGATCATACAAACTCCACTCACTCTGTAGAACAGGGGGAGATCATACAAACTCCACTCACTCTGTAGAACAAGGGGAGATCATACAAACTCCACTCACTCTGTAGAACAGGGGGAGATCATACAAACTCCACTCACTCACTCTGTAGAACAGGGGTGGAATATACAAACTCCACTCACTCTCACTCTGTAGACCAGGGGGAGATCATACAAACTCCACTCACTCTGTAGAACAGGGGGAGATCATACAAACTCCACTCACTCTGTAGAACAGGGGGAGATCATACAAACTCCACTCACTCTGTAGAACAAGGGGAGATCATACAAACTCCACTCACTCTGTAGAACAGGGGGGGATCATACAAACTCCACTCACTCTCACTCTGTAGAACAAGAAGAGATCATACAAACTCCACTCACTCTGTAGAACAGGGGGAGATCATACAAACTCCACTCACTCACTCTGTAGAACAGGGATGGAATATACAAACTCCACTCACTCTGTAGAACAGGGGGAGATCATACAAACTCCACTCACTCTCACTCTGCAGAACAGGGATGGAATATACAAACTCCACTCACTCTGTAGAACAGGGGGAGATCATACAAACTCCACTCACTCTGTAGAACAGGGGGAGATCATACAAACTCCACTCGCTCTCACTCTGCAGAACAGGGGGAGATCATACAAACTCCACTCACTCTGTAGAACAGGGGGAGATCATACAAACTCCACTCACTCTCACTCTGCAGAACAGGGGGAGATCATACAAACTCCACTCACTCACTCTGTACAACAGGGGGAGATCATCCAAACTCCACTCACTCACTCTGTAGAACAGGAGGAGATCATACAAACTCCACTCACTCTCACTCTGCAGAACAGGGGGAGATCATACAAACTCCACTCACTCACTCTGTACAACAGGGGGAGATCATCCAAACTCCACTCACTCACTCTGTAGAACAGGAGGAGATCATACAAACTCCACTCACTCACTCTGTAGAACAGGAGGAGATCATACAAACTCCACTCACTCACTGCAGAACAGGGGGAGATCATACAAACTACACTCACTCTCACTCTGCAGAACAGGGGGAGATCATACAAACTCCACTCACTCACTCACTCTGTAGAACAGGCGGAGATCATACAAACTCCACTCACTCTGCAGAACAGGGGGAGATCATACAAACTCCACTCACTCTGCAGAACAGGGGGAGATCATACAAACTCCACTCACTCTCACTCTGCAGAACAGGGGGAGATCATACAAACTCCACTCACTCTACAGAACAGGGGGAGATCATACAAACTCCACTCACTCTGCAGAACAGGGGGAGATCATACAAACTCTACCCACTCTGTAGCACAGGGGGAGATCATACAAACTCCACTCACTCTACAGAACAGGGGGAGATCATACAAACTCCACTCACTCTGCAGAACAGGGGGAGATCATACAAACTCCACTCACTCTCACTCTGTATAATAGGGGGAGATCATACCAACTCCACTCACATTCACTCTGTAAAACAGGGGGAGATCATACAAACTCCACTCACTCTGCAGAACAGGGGGAGATCATACAAAGTCCACTCATAAAGAGTCGGGAATCGGACCCAGGCATTTCTTGGTGCGAGGCACGCCTCTTACTGCCACTTCTGCCAACATCCTGCCGCCCAGAACGTTTTCGAGTCCCGCCTCTGCCAAGGGGGCCAACCGCCACGACATCACAACACCGGAGACGACGAGACGGGAGCCAAAACAATGTTGGGAAATTGGGGACAAAACCAGAAACTCCAAGCACGAGCATCACCGCCACTACCCCCCACGGCCACGACTTTGCATCGTGGCCGTGGTGGGGGGGGGGGGGGGGGAGATATTACGGTAATCGCGTGAGGGGCCAGGAAATCTCGGCGTGTTTTTGTTTTGTTAACATTCTCAACGTGCTGGGCGGGGGTCGTGGTGGTGGAGGAATCTTGTTTCTTGTTGAACGAGAAAGCCCGAAGCTGTCCTGCAACTCGGGGAGTGGCAAAAGCGCCGGAGCCGTTGCAGGGAAAACGATTTCTCTCTAGCGGCGTGAGAACCAAAAGAACGACCCCTCGTTAGTCATCATCGTTGTTGTTGTAGTCGTTGCCAAACGCAATAACGGTTTTTTTGTTGTTGGGTTAGATCGCGTAAATATGAATGTGCCGTTAACCCGCCAGCCATCAACGCCTCCGATAAGCACGTTTGGCTATAACGGTGCGAAAGAAGTTCCACATACATACGTACTTTAGCAAGGTTGGCTAAGTTCCACATACATACGTACTTTAGCAAGGTTGGCTAAGTTCAACATACATACGTACTTTAGCAAGGTTGGCTAAGTTCCACATACATACGTACGCTAGCACGGTTGGCCACGTACGGTGAAAAACAAGTTCAACATACACACATGCCACCCGACAAAGCCAATTAGTAAGGTTTGTCACGTGAACACAACGCGCCAAATTGGTTACTCCTTCAGCACTAACCGGCTGCGTTGGAGAGTAAACCCACAACATTTACCGTATGAGTATTGTGACGTTTAGCTGCCCATGACAACCGGCTTCATCGGGCACAACCTTTAGGATTGATAACATTGGTCGCGGAAGCCTACTACGTGTTCAACTCACTATTATCGTTGCCGTTGTTATTGCTGTTGCTATATTACTGCTTGTCTACGCAGGGTACGCCCAGCCGAGTTTCGTGCATCTTCTAGTGGCAGGGTCTTGCCGAGGTTTTGCGGTGGGAGGCGATGATTGCTCCTGCTGCTTGTGCGTTAACACTTTACAGAGCGCCTCCGATGAAGAGCGCCTCCGATGAAGAGGCGGCGCTTAACATTACGAAAACAAAAACGGGACAAACAGAGAAGTGATTCAGATGGCAGGGGAGCGCAAGGAATGAGGAACAGGTGACCAAGATCGAGGGTGCCTAGGAGGGGGGGGGGGGGGGAGGGAAGGGGAGGACGCGGGAATGGGCAATGGAGATAAGGTGAGCTTTGATTTGCGGCGTAATATTCAACATTTGGCGAAGATTTAGAGCGAGATGCGGGCACACGAGGGCCCACTCTTTGACACCGCAGGATATTTGGCGTCCACATACCGTGTCAACCCATACGGTTTAACCCGTATTCTTGTACAACTTGTACAGGGAAATTGCGTTTTTCAGGTCCGTACGGCGTACAGCCGTTTCAAGACGGGGAAAAAAATGTCTATATGTTTGTGTTTCTCCCTTGTGATGGGACTTTGTAGGATGAACGTTGAGATTTATAAGGGCACGGGGTGACCAATAAGGTCTGAATTTGTCTGTAATAAGGAGACACTGCTAAGGGGTTGACAGGTTTGCGTCCACTGTGAATCGGATGGCGCGCAATAAATTTTCACGGTGAATATTCAGCAAAACCGCGGTGTTAGCCGGAGCGGCTGAACTGGGTGGGACGCGTGTGTGCAGGACAGGGGGCGGGGGGAGGGGCGATTGCCGTGACGGGTGTTGGAGCGGTCTCCAACGAGCCCGGACGCCAAGGGGAAGAGAAGGCCTAAGGCCAGATGGGCGGGATGAGACCGTCAGGGCAGAGCTTGGGAGGTGGCTGCGTGGCGACCGTGCATCAGCTGCGGGAACCGGCGGAAAGATGTGGCTGAAAGCCGTCGGTAGCGAGGAGGTGCCGTGTTGGCAATGGCCATGGCGGTAGTGGTGTTCGCGGTGGTCGTGGCGGCGGTGTTGGTGGCGGTGTTGGCGGTGGTGTTGGTGGCGGTGGTCGTGGCGGCGGTGTTGGCAATGGCCATGGTGTTGATGGCGGTGTTGGTGACGGTGTTGGTGGCGGTGTTGGTGACGGTGTTGGTGGCGGTGTTGGTGGCGGTGTTGTGGTGTTCGCGGTGGTGGCGGTGGTCGTCGCGGCGGTGTTTGCGGCGGCACCGGCGGGCCGGGTTCCTCACCCACACGGGGCACCGCGCCCCGTCGCTTTGCGTCGCCAGTCGACAGAAGAAGCCGGGGTCGGCGGACCGACGAGCCTCGCCCCAGCGGATCATGTCCCCCCGGTAGCGCTCCTTGTAGTCGCTCGCGTCCAGCAGCTTGTCCAGCTCCAGCTGGTGCTCCTGCCGCAAACAGCGCCGCCCGTCCTTCCATCGGCTCCGTCCACCCACGCTCATCGGGGTTTCTCCCGCGCACGGCAGGGTAATGCGGCCCGTTCGGTTAGATTCGTAAAATAAATAAATAACAAAATAACGAATCGTGACACGGGGTGGGATAACGCGGCGTTAGCACAGACTGGGAACTGGGTCGCGTGGTGCAGACAATCGTTGAGGTATAAATCGATGCGGTCATTTGACACCGAGATGAAGCCGGTTGTAATTACTGGCGAAACATCGTACTCAGAATGTAAATGTTGAGAGTGACGAATTGGCCACGTTCTGTTTACGTGACAAACCTTGCTAAATCGGGTGGTGGCGGGTTTAACGACACATTTATAAATTTACGCGATTTAATCCCAAAAACCTCTATTATGAACTCCGAGTAGCTTCTCACAGCCGATGTCATGATTCACAATTGGTTTTTGGGTTAGGCCACGTAACGATCTGGACCAAATGTATGTCGCAAAGACCCCCACTCCCCCCCGCCACTGACCCGCCACAGCCAAATAAAGTTGTCGCTTGGTGCAGAAACGCGCCGAATGTTAACGTTTCAGCTCGCTCAACGGCGACTTGAAGAGCAATGCTCACAACCACATTGAGCAGCAGGTCGACACTCGGGACAAGATAGACGAAGTCGGAACAACCGTGTCAGCTGACGCGGCTTCTTAAGTAGACAACCATCAATGCGGTCAGCGCCGGCTTTACTGGTGGAAGGGCGACCACCAGAGAGAGCTCTCGACAGCCACTCTAGTGGGTATTTGGCCTACTCTTCCACGCTGGCTGGTATGTCTTGGCAGCGGTCAGAGGGGCCCACACTTCACCGCCACCGCAAGCGACCTGCTGATCGACTTTGGTGCTAAACTCAATTCTCCTGCTCGCTAGACAGAGGGGCGGTGGAGTGGGGCGATGTGGAGAAGCAAGAAGATGGCTCCTATTGTTTCAACTGCCACACGGGGAGACGGAATCGAACCGGAGACCTCTGGATCGCAAGCTCAGTACTTGCGAGCACTACAACCGCTGTGGCAGTTAAACTAAAAACTACACTGTTTTTATTTTACTCAGTAAGGTCCAAGGAACTATAGCTCTTTTTCAGAAGCGACCTGGTCACCAGCGGTAGCTCAACGAAGTGACTTAACATGTCGAAATTTAGAGCTGCCAAATGCTCTAAACGCGTGATGTAGATTCGACATGTGGAGGGGAAATGCAGTGCCAGGAGAAACATCCACATGACTACGGGGAGAACACGCAAACTCCAAATTTACAGAAAGTGTCAGGGTGGGGATCGAAACCCACGACCTCCTGTACACCAGGCGAGGTAGTTAACATCTCCTAGCCACCGTTCTACGGTATCCCTTGAAAACAGTAGCGCAAAAATATACTTCACAGGCCTTTTGTCAATCCGCTGCAGGATGAAGGCGTTGGTGCCATGGGAGAGAACTCACTTTGGCTGCGGCTTCTCTCGACATTCGCCCCCCCCCCTCCTTTCCCCCCCCCACTTGATCGAGCAATGAGAGCCAGCGCCCTCGAGTGAACTCACCTTGGCGAACTGGCTCTTCAGCGGTCCAGACAGTCGCAGGATCGCACACACGTCTTCTCCCAGCCTGCAACGAGAACAAGAAACGCAACGCGGCGCTTACGGTTTGGTGAACAGCCGAGACAAAGATTCCCCAGCAGGGCCAGATAACTACAAAACCTTGCTTTATCTTGGCAAGTAAGGCGCCACTGAGCTGTATAGCTCTTTTTCAGACGCGACCTGGCTATCACAAATGATAGCTCAACAAAGTGGCTTATCATTTAGAGCGTCCAAATACTCTAAACGCGGGATGTCGATTCTAAATGTGGAGGGAAAAACTGGAGGACTCGGAAACAAATACATGGAGAGAGAGAGAGAAACCAACTCTAAATATACAGGCAGCAGGCATCAGGGTGAGGATCGAACCCACGACCTCCTGCATACCAGGCGAGGTAGTTAACATCTCCTAGCCACCGTGATGATGATGAGAGAGACGCAAACTCCAAATATACAGCAGGCGACAGGGTTGGGATCGGACCCACGACCTCCTGCATACCAGGCGAGGTAGTCAACATCTAGCCACCGTGATGATGATGATAAGAGAGACGCAAACTACAAATATACAGCAGCAGGCGTCAGGGTGAGGATCGAACCCACGCCCTCCTGCATACCAGGCGAGGGAGTCAACATCTCCTAGCCACCGCGCCACATCAAGGATGGCACAGCGGCGACACTCGCGACTCGTTTCGAATTCTGACTCGGGAGCCTTTCCGTGTGGAGCTCGTGCGTTCTCTCAATTGGACGTCCTCTGGTTTTGATCGTGTGGGCAATGTCGACGGGCCCTCATGCTAACTACAGCCGTGCACCCTCCACCACCCGACATGGCGAGATTAAATCGAGACGTCGCGTCGCGGGCGAACGCGCCCATGGATTTTGTTTTTCAGCAAAAAACCGGTTACGTAGGAAAAGCCCACGCTCAAGTTTGCCAACATGGGACCTTACTTGCCAGTAAAGTATAAGAAAAGGTTTTTACCTTGTATTTGTTTGAATGTGTGGTTAATGCAGACATGATTCCTTGTAAAATGTTTCTGTTTGGGGTTTGAACATCTTGACACTTGTTTTGCCAGGAAGGGGTAAAACCAGTTCTTATAAATGTTTGGCAATTAACAAAATTTCCCTGCTGGCTTTGTCTGGCGGTGGATGGTTATGGGCTTGATTGACGTGACACCTACGTGCTCAAACCCAGAATAACTCGGCACATGCGCCCGCGTGAGCGTGCGAGCATGTGTACGGTGCTGGCCACTCAACTCCTCGTGTGCTGCAGCGGTCTTCATAGGTGCTCGCTAACAGCTTTTGCCCCAACAGTCTGTTCAGGCTAGACGGGGGATCTTTGTATTTGTGGCCTTAAAATAAGAAAAGAATATATCACCGGCAACTTTTCAGGCAATAGCCTTCTTCATAAGCACGTACCTTTACCTGGCATGTGTTATTTGTGTGTCGCCTTAAAGGGGAAAAAAAATAGGTGACGTTTTGGGCAAAGGCCCTTCTTCATGGTATATAGAGAGGCTGCCAGTAGACAGAGAGACAGAGTGGATAGGTAAGGGCTGCAGAGTGCCACTTGTTTGCACTGTGGGGCGTGATGAGAATGCAATTATTTTTTTCTGTGAACGGAGAATCAAAGTTTAACACGTTGCAGGCTTTCGCGACCAATATTATTCACAAATGTTTTTGGATTAGATTGCATACGTATAAATGCGTCCTAACCCTCCACCACCCGACACAGCCAATGGTAAGGGATTTGTCACGTAAACAAAACGCCAAATAGTTACTAGTATAGTGTATTGTATAGAGTAGTGTGTAGTCGTGTATAGTGTAGTTACTACTTCAGCACACCAGTGTATTGGAGAGTAAATCCACAACATTTACAATTTGAGTAGTACGAAGTTTCCCTGGTAATCACATCCAGCATCATCGGGCGATTTGCCAGAATCGCAGGAAGAGAGGCACTGGCAGGAACAAGACGACAAGGCAAACGCAACCTCTTCGTTTAAGGCCACGCGGTGTTGTCATTGACGAATGTATTGAGTTTTGTTGTTGTTGTTGCTGCTGCTGTTGTTGTCGATTGCGCACCACTGACAAGGCAGCAGGAGCAGCACCATCATCATCATCACCAGATACATAGTTTAACCTGAAGGACACGGATTACAGATTTTAGAATGTTAAAATGGTCAAATGTGTGGCTCACATTTCACCTTCTTATGAAATGCGGCAGGCCGCAAGATTTTTTCCATCGGCATTTTTCTCAATAAAGTTGCGTTGGCTCAAATGTCTTTCCAATCGTTACCATCGGACGCATTTTTTTGCAACGGCAATCACTTACACACAAACTACCGTGGCCTCCCACGCCACCTGCACAGTTGTTTTCTATTCTACAGTCGGTTTCGGGGGAACGATTTGCATTTTGGAAAACCAGGGTTACTTTTACGCTTCCGAGCGGATGTCTGCCAAGGAGATGGCGAGATTAGTTCGCGTGCAGATGTTGTTGCATCAAAGGATCGCGAGAGGTGGCGGCAACTACGGGAGGCCTTCATGCAGCAGTGGATTGACCCATTTCTGTCCAGTGCTCGCCGAGCTGCATTGGCTTCCGGTTGCCGAACGAACACGTTATGATGAGGTCGCACTCGTTACACACAAAGTGCTCGCCACAAATGAACCACGGTACCTTGATGATCCCGTCAAGGAGCATAAACCAGCAGGTGAACTCCGATGATCTTCGCAGCAGCTTTTGGCTAGCCATCAAACAAGGACTGTTACCGGCCGTCTGGAACGCTCTTCTTTTTCATATTAGGAAGCCACTGGAGCAACGCACTTTTAAATAATCTCGATTGAAAGCTCATTTCTTTAGAACTGCTTTTTGCGTTTCATTTGTCCTTTCCCCCCGCACCTCCGATTAGCACGGTTGGCTACATACGGTGCGAAAGAAGTTCAACATACACACATGCAATCCGGCCAATGATTTTAATCACCCTAATTTTTTACCTCTGCTACGATCCACCGCCACTCACGTACACGGGCAGCCCTCCTGTCAATGCACTGCAGGATTAGGGCCTCCCCATGCTGGGTCGTGCGAGCTATTCGACCACACTTCACCACGCTGGCAAAGACGTTGGGAGCACAGAAGCACGACATCAATGGATTTTGCCACGATGCCCTCTGCTTGCCCACAACAGTAGGCCGATGTCAAACTCAAACTGTAATGCACTTTGATTGCCCATTCAAGCACTGTGCAGGCTCTACTCGGCTTAGGTTGCGAGTTTTCATGAGATTGGGTGCATTCCGGATGATTTGCTTGTAGACAAATATATACTGCATAAGACACCCAATCAATTTGGGCAATTCCACCGATTCCAATCCACAAAATAAATCGTAACAGTGATATACGTACGTGTGTCTGTTTAACTTCTTTCGCACCATACGTAACCAACCGTGCTCATGGGAGGTGTGGGGAAGGACAAACAACTAAACACAAAACGCAGCTCAAAGCACAATGTGTTGGTCTTGGGCATTATTCTCCATACTTCACCACAACGGTTAGTGGGAGTTATTGAAGGTGGGGGGGGGGGATGGCAGGGGGAGCCCAGAACCAGAGCTCATCATGTGGTTACGCACCAAGTGACGTTAGCCGTGGGCAGGAACTAAGAACCCAGATCACCGGGTTGATAGTGCAGTGCATACCAATCAAAACTAGATTGTGAGATATCATTGTCTGAGACACATGTGGTTCACGTGTAATGCATATTTTCTATCGGCCGTTTCCCAGAGTGCTTTTCTATCGATTTCATGAGATACATTTTTATATGTGTAGTTTAATAACTCTGGCTGCTGACGGAAAAGTGGTACTGACAGCAGAGGGCAGGACACACGTCAGCAGAGAGAGTATATATGGGGGTGACAAGAACTCAAGAGACGCTCAGGAAGGGGTCCATTTGGAAGCCAGGGAACTTGCAAGTGGGTTCCAGGAAGGGGGCACGGCGAGAGTGGAGCGAGGCCACGCCGGGAGGGTAGAAGGGGGCCCACCCCGGGGCTGTTGCTGAAAGTGGATCCCCTCGTCATCCCCGTCACTAGCGTCTCAGCCATCCTAGACGCCGCTAGCTCGACAGCCTGCCAACTGGACTAGCTAGTGCCGTCGAATGAGACAGATGTGACTAGTGTGTAAGCACTTCGGGCGTTTGTAGTTCCCTGACGTGTGAAAATAAAGGTGCCTTAACGATCCCCGTCTCCGAAGTGTGTCACTACATATTTATATATTTCTAATTATTTAATAATACATATTTATATATTTCTAATGGTTTCATCAGATATATTTGGAGATATTTCTAATGATTACATTATATATTTCGAATTATTCCATCATATATATTTATATATTTCTAATTATTTCATCAGATATATTTATATATTTCTGATGATTTCATCAGATATATTTTTAGATATTTCTAATGATTACATTATATATTTCTGATGATTTCATCAGAAATATTTAGATATTTCTAATGATTTCATCAGATATATTTTTAGATATTTCTAATGATTACATTATATATTTCTAATTATTCCATCAGATATATTTTTAAATATTTCTAATGATCACATTATATATTTCTAATTATTTCATCAGATATATTTTTGGTGGCTGCGTTCATCCATTTACAACCCACGCCCTCCTCTCTCCCTCCAACCACAACTTCCACGTGGTGGTTTTTCAGATTCCACGGCACGGATGTCACTCGTCACTGATGTTGGCCGTGGTTTGGGTTGCACCAGGCTCCCAGCTCAGTGCACTAAGGACCAGCGTAATATATAAATGTAAAATTGATACGCGTCAACTTTTAATTACATACGCAACAATTACAATACAATAAAAAATTAGCAATCATTATAATTCACAATCATTTAAAATTGTGCCGAACGAATGATGCTGAAATTATAAAAACTACTACGAACTATTTTTTATTTTACTCGGTAAGGCCCACTGAGATATGTAGCTCTTTATCAGAAGCAACCTGGCCACAAATGAAGTGGCTGATCACGTGGACATTTTGTATCATCCAAACACTCGAAACGCATGTTAATTGTAAATGTGGAGGAAAAAAACGGAGGACTTGCAGAAAAATCCACGCTACCACGAGGAGAACATGCAAGCTCCATATATAGAGTCAGGGTCGGGATCGAACCCACGACCTCCTGTATACCAGGCGAGGTAGTTAACATCTCACAACCGACAGCGCCCTGTCAAATTATGACATTGCTTAGTGTTAGCGAGTTTGCAAATTTGGTGCAGGCGTTCGTGGTTGGAATCCAGCAGCCACCCTGGTTACGCCAGCTGGGCGGTGGTGGCTATGCATGCCTCTAATCCACCACTGTGCGGGCGACGAGGGTTGGTGGATTGCACAAATGTTTTGCTGAGGAGCCAGAAGAAGGCAGTACAGCAAGCGGACGTGTCTCCATCTGTTTTAATCTGTAGAGGAATGGAGTGTTGCTCCTTCCCTTCGCGCGCGTGTATTTTCTCTCGGGTGCTCCGGTTTTCTCCCATGTGTAGTCACTCATTAATTGGCGGAAAGCATCTTCGTATGTAGAGGATGGCAGGTAGTGAAGTCTCACACCGTCTGTCCGGCTGCTGCTGACTTCCCGCCGGTCTGTGCTGTCCTCCTTGCGCCCTTTTTAGTCATCCCTCTCTCTAGGAGAACGAGCGAATACCTTGGGTCAGAAAGTTCCTACTTTGTAGGGGGAGTCAACAGCGGCTGTTATGTGCAGTTTGCCCCCCCCCCCCCCCCCCACCATGGGAACGTGGAATTTCCACTGCCGGTCTTAAATAGGCCAGCTTTAATTAACCAGATAAATTAATGCATTCATTAATTACCAGAGCAACGTAGCCCGCTGGATGATGGTCTCCTGACGCTGCCATGGCCGTGAGGGTGGCCGAGCAGTCATCTGGCCATACTTCACCACGCCGGTGAAGCGTGGGGAGCAGCACAAACGTGGGGAGAGTATAAATACCATACCTTAGTAATAGGTTTTTACCCTTTCAACTGGTACAAAAACTGACACCTTTATACAAGGGATCATGTTTGCAATAACCACAACACAAGTGCCGGCCGACCTTATCACAGACCACACCAGAGCTTATTGGTCACCCCGTGCCCTTATACATCTCAACGTTCATCCTGCAAAGTCCCCTCACAAGGGAGAATCGGCTGTATGCCGTATGGACCTAAAAGCTCAATTTCCCTGTCCAATAATAAGGGCAAACCGTCTGGGTTGACAGGCATGCCTCTGTATGAAGATGTTTTCAGACAATTCATGAGTGACTGCATGTGGAAGGAAACCGGAGCACCCCGGACAAAATCCACGCGCGCAAACCGGCGCGGGGCAACGCTCGATTCCCGTACAGATGAAAACAGACGGGGACAAGTCCGCTTGCTTGTACTGCCTTCTGCTGGCGAGTCAGGGTATGGCTCCTCGACACAACATTTGTGCCATCCCGTGGCCCGCACAGCGGTGGATGAGAGGCGTGCATGGCCACCACCGCCCCGCTGGTGTCACCAGGGCGGCCGCTGGAACACAACCGTGAGCCTCTGCACCAAGTGGCGAACTCGCTAACGCCAAGGCAACGTCGTATGGACCTTAGAACTCGATTCCCCTGTACAAGTTTAAGTTCATTTCAAGTTCATTTATTAGGTATAGCCCTGTGAGCCATTCGGCTCTTGAATCGGGTGCAACCGCAACAAACAAAAACATGAACAAAAAACATCTTAAAGTGAATATGTGACTAAGTGCAAACAGAAAATCCAAGAAAAGTCAGCAAAATATTGCAGAAAAAAATCACCGTACACCAACGCTGTGTGGGTTGACGCGGTATGAAGCACCGTTACACACAGGGGCACGGGAAAGCGATGGTTGTTGCTGCCCTGCCCCTCTGCCGCCCATAGCTCTCTGGCCTATAGCAACAAAGCAATGTCATCCAGCCTCCAATCTCCTGCTTGGCTCGTGAGGAATCCGACGAGATTCGGGGTCGGAGGCACGCGTGGGGCTACCCGCGATGTTTGCATCTCCAACCGGGGGGGCTTGCGGGTTGCCTCCTGCAGGTTCACTTGACCATACTTGCCCGCGTTGTGTCGTAACCCTCCACCACCCGACACGGTCAGTTAGCAAGGGAAGTGTCACGTAAACAACGCGCCAATCACAGTAGTTACTACTCGTGCCCACCGGTGTGTTGGAGAGTAAATACACAACATTTACAATCTGAGTAGCACGAACAGTGAAGCCATCCGCCTGCTTCAGCTCTTAAATGGGGCAGCAGCAGCAGCAGGGTGACGTCACTGAACCCATCAGGAGCAGAGATCAGAGGCGGCGATTGTAATTAAATCATAGATTAGTAATCAGTTAATTAGCACGTGTTTCCTCTATGAGGAATTGTGTAAGGTGTACTCTTAGTTTTTTTCGGTAAAGTCACGTAGGTAAAAGTAAATAATACAAATATTATTTTATTATATTATTAATATTATTTATTTTTACCTACGTGACTTTACCGAAAAAACCTAAGCGTATGAATCCTTGCAGTCACGAAAGCTTCAAATCTAGATTGTGTAAGGTGCATTAACTTAATAAATGCGCTTCCAGGTGGAGGGGGGGTTACGACGCGTTCGCACCGAGGCGATCTCACCCAACAACAACAACCACAACCACCACCACCACAACCACCACCACCACCACCTCTATTACGAATGTTGTAACATTGGTGGCGAAAGGCCCTGGCTGCTGCTGGTGGTCAACGCAACACGAATGGTTTTAAACCATCTTTTTTACACGTTATGTTTCGTAGGCCGCGATCCATCCAACTGCTGGACGAGGCGGTGTATGTGGGGGGTGGAGAGCAAGCCACCACCAACAACAACCAACAACAAACACAGAACAACAACAACAACAACACAAGTCCGTCCACACGAAGCGATGTTGTTGAATGTTTGCTCGAGTCGTGGCCGGAGTCATCGCGAACCTTTCGCGCAGCAAGTCCGTCACGAAGTCCTTGCCCGACTTCCTCTTCCCGCTGAAGACGAGGACGCAGCGAGGCGGCGGCGATGATGATGATGATAAAGAAGATGATGATGATGAAGATGAACCGCCGTCCGATGCGGCCATGGCGGCTGCCGGGCGGGTCGCCAAGGCAGCGGGCGATGTCACGCAGCGGAGGATTTACCTCCAGAAATGGATGTTTCGTTAAACGCGGTGCCAAGTCAGAGGTTTTACCTCCCCCATCCAAAATTAAAAGTTAAACTATCGTTATGCTAACTATTAAACAGTTTTTTTTATTATTTTACCAGGTAAGGCCCCACTGAGCTGTGACGTAGATTTTTTATTACACGCTTTTATTTAACTTACTCTGTTGTTGTTGTATCTTCAAATCTTGTAACTCAATTTTAACCCACTTCCCAATGCGGTATAGACTGTAAACTTGGTATACTTATGTCATACTGATGACAATACTATATTCTATCATTAAAAATTAATATTTTTAAACAATATTTTTAACATGTTATGTTTCGGCTTGGCTCTAATTGTCCACGCTCAACTGACGTTGGCTGTAAATCACCACGGCCCCTTACGCTGTGGAGTCGTGGAGTTTTGCCATTACTCGTACGGTACATTTATTAAAGCGTCTTTTTAAATCCTTTATATTAAGTTCACTTGCTTGCACGCTTACGACCGTGCAAATCTTTCGGTCGTTTTTTAACCCACTTCCCGTGATCCAATCGAGCTCACATTTTGCACACAGACTCGTTGTGCGTGACAATTTATTTTCGTGAAAAATGTTTTCCAAAATTTTATACTTTTTAGGATTTTTTTTTTCATATTTTATTTAAAATACCAATGTGATAAAAATGAAACTCTTACTCAAGAAAAACAGAATGAATAATAAAATAAAACCGATGCCACGCATATAAAGGATTTATAGTGAAAAACTTTGTTTTTACGGGTTAATTTTAAGAAATGACTTTTAAATATTACTTATTTTTCAGTGGGATCATCATCATCACAAACCTGTCAACCCCTTATGGGTGTAGACCTGATTGCAGACCAACTCAGACCGTGTTGGTCACCTCATGCCCTCTTCACGTGGCCTCAAGGTGCACGTGGCCTGGCACAAGCGTCGTGGTGACGTCACCGCCACTTAGTGGCGAATGGTGGTTTTGTTATAAATCTCGACGTTCATCTTACAAAGTCCCATCACGAGGGAGAAACACAAACAAAAACACGTTTTGCCCGTATTTGACCTGAAAACTCAATTTCCCTGTACAAGAATACGGGAAACCCGTGTGGGGTGACACGGTGTGGTGTCAGCCATCACGTGGACATTTATAGCAGGAGCTAAATAACTCTAAACGCGCGATGTTGATTCTAATTTAGAGGGGAAAACCCCGGAGGACTTCACGGCTGATATGTTGAGCTTTCTTATACTTTGCACTGTTATCGTGTTTCTGTACTGTTGCTGTAGTGCTCTGACTTCGTGCCCCTACTGGACATGTGATTAAAAGAGCTTTATCGCCTATCGGATTATTCCTCCAGTGTAAATAAATATCGTGATTCTGGATATTACGATATTCTCGGGATTATAAGACCCAGTGCCCGGTGTCAATCAGCAATGATGGTCACATTTGACCAACTATTTGGATCGGTTCTTTCTCAACGACACATTTCGGCCGCACATTCATTCACGTTGAGTTGGTGGTCTGGGCAAGGCTGAGCGCTGTTGTGCGTGCGACGTTGAACTGCGCACCTTTGCGTTTTTGTTAAATATTTGCACGCACACACATCCTACCGGATTATAAGACGCTTACAATAACACACAAGACGCTAGGTGCGTCTTATAATCACCCACAAATAAGAGATCCAAACAGGGAGGCCACGCTACAAGCGGTACCTTTAAATGTGAGACCCGTGACGAAGAGCTTCATAGCTCATCGGATTGCTCCTGGAGTCTAAACAAACACATTCCTGCGGAGGGAGCTGGTAGGAACGTCGGGTTGCTCGGTCAATGGCCTGCAGGGTCAACGGCGGCGTGGTGTATTCCGCAAATATGCCCGACTGTGAGGGCAGGCACAAGCCGGCGTGAGTAGGTTAAACGTTGAGTTTTATAAGGGCACCACGGGGTGACCAGCCCCTCCCCACCCAGCCCCTCCCACCCCCCACCCAGCCCCACCCTCCCCACACAGCCCCTCCCCAACCTCCGCACCCAGCCCCTCCCCACCCAGCCCCACCCCTCCCACCCAGCCCCTCCCCTCCCTCCCCACCCAGCCCCTCCCTCCCCACCCAGCCCCTCCCTCCCCACCCAGCCCCACCCTCCCCACACAGCCCCTCCCCACCCTCCCCACCCAGCCCCTCCCACCCCCCACCCAGTCCCCCCCTCCCCACACAGCCCCTCCCCAACCTCCGCACCCAGCCCCTCCCCACCCAGCCCCACCCCTCCCACCCAGCCCCTCCCCTCCCTCCCCACCCAGCCCCTCCCTCCCCACCCAGCCCCTCCCTCCCCACCCAGCCCCTCCCTGCACGACGGACGGACGGACACAATAATCCCATGTGGGCTGGTGTAACCAGGAGGTTCCTACCAGTATCATGATTCTGGGTGGCGAAATCGATTCCAGTTGTCGATTCCTTCTCGAATGGGTAGCGCACTTCCAAGTCGGGCTGAACGACTAATCGATTTCAAATCGAAATCGCAATTTGAAGCAAAGCGATTAGCAAATCGCAAAGGCTGCGATTATTTGAGATTTGAAAAAGTCCTATTACTTTCTGATTGGAATTGTTTTATTTTTTATTATTATAACTTTATTTATTTAACTTAACAATTGTTCTACCTTTTATTGTTCTATCTCAATTAAAACATTTTAATAAATACATGTTGGAAGCAATACATTTTAAGTTCTCATTCTTGCATTAGAATATATCTAGAGCAGTTCATATTTTGATGGTATCGTGTGGCAATGCTCCATCACATGTTTTAAATCTATTACACAGCTTGACTTAAAAAGTTTTAATCTCAAATCAAATCGCAATATCTGTCAGAAAAATAAATTAGATATTGTCCCCAAATTGTTCAGGCCAACTTTTAGGCAGCAGGTTATATCGATTAATGAATCGATCACCCTGCAATGATCGACTAAGGTATCACCAGTTTTTTTTATTGTTGAATGATAACTTTAGTACTATTTATAATATTATACTTATTTTTTACTTACATGGGGGTTTTAATGGAATTCAAATGAATTAACTGATAAAATGTAAAATAATAAATTTGCAATCGATAAGTTAACCGAATCGTTACTGACGATATTAAAGGCGCCAAGGTGAGTCCATTAATGTGTGTGTGGGGAGTAGGGGTTAAAGCGTTCTGTATATAGATTAAAACGTCTTACGTGGCTTAATAAAAACATCGATAAAAGTTTAATATATAAAAAGAGATTAATGATTATTTTAAACTGGTAAATAACGTAATAAATAGCTGCTTTAATTAGTAATAATTTCCGCGCGCCCCCTCACCCTGTGCTCAATTGGTTTCTCCCGTGAGCGTCATGTTTGTGATTCCACGTTCAGTTTGAATCCTCGGCGGCTCGGAGTGGCACAGAGTGAGTTGTACTCCACTTCACCCGCGCTCTTACATCTAAAATCAAAATGTATCGACCGAGATGAATCGGTTCTCCTCGTTTTACCACGGAAATGAGTAAAATCGATCTAAACTAAAGTCTGACGGCAACTCGGGCCTACGTCAGGCTTTAGCCGGTTCCTTCCCTTCAGTCGAGTGAACTCGTGATGATGTATTTCACGTTCGCGTGGACATTAACACTCCATGCTATCCGTGCTATATTCACCACAAACACACAAACAAACACACAAACACACACACAAACACCCGCTTGTGTTCCCCTCAACATTGGTTGTGCAGTGGATGAACAACCCATCAACCCGCCGCCATCGGAATGTGGAATTTCCATCTGCCTCAAGGAGCGACTCGTGCTCGATTTTAGCGGGGAAATCACCGGCGGGCTTGGTGAGGGGGTTATCGATTTAGCTGATAAATGTAATGATTATCGACTCTTAGGTCTTCAACCCGCAGTGGCTGTGGACGTGGAAATGTTCACAACTGGACGACCTCGCCGCCGGGTCGCTGCTTTAAATATTAAACTCTGAGTTTTAGCTGGTAAAGTAACATAGTTTAGTTGTATAGATTTGGTGATTTGCTTACCTTTCCTAGACTTTGCACTCCTTGTTTTTGTTTTGTATTGTAACGTTCTGAGCCTGTGTGACAAAGAGCTTTATAGCTCATCGGATTCCTCCTGCAGTCTAAATACATATTTTTGGTTCTCTTCACTGCCCTCGAAATGATTAAATTGTCACCTATTTCATTTTATAAACAATGTCAAGCGCCTCGAGTGAAGGTGCTTGTATGTGAATATACAATTAGATTGTTCAGCGTGCGTTGGTGAGAATCTGGCGGGACCCCAGGACTTTGTTCAAATATCACTTCGCCATCGCCGTGTGGGGAGATTCATAACGAACGTAAAAATAAATAAAAAAAATAGAAATAAAATGATAAATCACGACGTTTCGGAGGCAACACAAGTCTCCGTCAACAGGTGGGACCGTCACAGCTAAATTGACTTTACCGACAAAACATAAGAGTATGAATCTTTGCAGCCACGAAAGCTTCAAATCTAGAATTCATAACGAAGTTGCGTTTCTAATATTCACGTCCATCTTGGACAAAACATGTTACGTTTACAAGGCAAAACATACGACCGCTTGTGTTACCTCGGTGTGTTTGTGTATTGACAATGATCGTATCAACGTGGAATTGCCATCTTCCCTCAGGCTGTTGAATTTATGTAACGTGCCACTTTAACAAGCGGTCTATAGACCGCCTGAGTATGGGAATAAATAATTGTCTCCACGTGTTGTGCAAGTTGTTTGGCCGTAGTCCAGCCAGGTGAGTGCGCGTTGGTGAATGGGGATGGGGGGTGAGTGGGAGACCTGTTCACACTTTTATTTCGGAACGTGGTGGACAATTCGAATTCTGGCAATCCTCGGTTTACGCGATTTTGTGGCACGACATTTCGCGTTTTCTTCTTGGTTCTTTCGGTAAAGTCGCGTAGAAGGGAAATAATAAAAATAAAACATCAAATAATTATCACGACGTTTCGGCCACAACGCAAGCAGCCGTCCTCAGGTGAAGAACAGGTCTGTCGGGAAGACAGCGTCATTTTATTATGTTTTATTTTTATTATTTTATTATTTCCCTTCTACGTGACTTTACGAAAGAACCAAGAAGATGAATCCCTGCAGTCACGAAAGCTTTAAATCGATATTTAACGCGCGCTTTGTATTTAGAAATTGATACGCCAGAGGCAAATTTCGTAATAACGCGACCCAATGGCCTTGCCAGCAGCCAGTTCGCTACGATCACTAATACTAATAATTTATATTTTATTACACGCTTTAATTTAACTCACAATGTCGTATCCTCAAATCTTGTAACTTCATTTTAACCCACTTCCCAATGTGGTATCGACTGCAAACTTGGTATACTTATGTCATACTGATGACAATATTATATTCTATCATTTTTAAAAATATATTTAAAAATAATCTTTTTAATATGTTATGTTTCGGCTTGGGTCTAATTGCTCACGCCGAACTGACGTTGGTTGTAAATCACCACGGTCCCTTACGTTATGGCACGCTTCGGGGCCATTTCCTAGAGTCGTGGAGTTCTGCCATTACGAGAACGGTACATTTCATTAAAGCGTGTTGGAAAAAAAAGTATTTTTAAATATTACTTATATCAACTCGTGTGCTGGACTGGACAGCATCTAGATTTGAAGCTTTCGTGACTGCAAGGATTCATATTCTTAGTTCTTTCGGTAAAGTCACGTAGGTAAAAAATGAAATTAAAAATAATAAAAATAAAACAATAAAAATCACGACGTTTCGGCCACAATGCAAGCAACCGTCCTCAGGTGAAGATGGTACTGTTTCATTCAGACGCTGTCTCCCCGACAGACCTGGTCTTCACCTGCGTTGTGGCCGAAACGTCGTGATTTTTATTGTTTTATTTTTATTAATTTTAATCTCATTTTTTACCTACGTGACTTTACCGAAAGAACTAAGAGTATGGACAGCATCTCTCAGTGTGTACCCCAGCACTCCCCTTTGTCTCGCGTTGTGATCGTACGTTGTCATGTTTACTTGTGTTCATCGCTTTTGTATTCCTTACTGTATTTCTTTATTTTATGGGAAGTATATAGAGTTACCATGATTTTCTTTTTAATTTAAAGTACGGGGTCCTTAAAAAAGTGTTAACACTTGTGAGAATGTGCAACAATATCACAAGAAATGTGCCTGTGGGGGCCGTTGGCCCCCGGGGTCCCTCCCGCCTGCATCCCCTATTCCGTTTACGTTACCCCACCTCCCTATTACCCGCTGCGGTTTCGCCGGCATTCGAACGCGACGCCCCTACTGTTACAGCCTCGCGCCGCGCTCCCACGCTGCGAGCATACGTGCGCACATCATCGTCAATCAAACGCCGTGCTCGCAGTATAGCCCTGTGCGGCACGTTACCAATGCGCATCCGTATCCGACATGTAACGAACGTATGCACACACACACACGCCGCTCCGTACACTCCAACTCCACACCAACTACGCAAGTTATGATCGCGCACCTGTATCACACACGGAGTGAACACACGCGACACCCACTCTTGCGCCGCTCTGCGCAGCGCTCGCCGTCTGCTGGCCGCTTGCGTTATGATCGCGCACCTGGGGTACGCCTATTACGCACGCCGCGAGCTTACGCACACACAGTACCACACGCGTTCCCACACGCAACCCGCGCGCTCAGCTCCGCGCAGCGCTCACTCACGTGGCGAACCACTGTGCACACAGCGCACCCACACGCTCACACTGCACGACAAGATCACGCGAGACCACGCTTCGCTATTAATGATTTATTATATGCCACCTGCGAATTGATGTTGAATCAGTGAGTCGACGAGGCTGGCCTATTCCACTAAACCTGTACCTATTCCCTATTTATCGGCTATGATTCTAATTTCACCTTCTTACTCACTGTTAAGTGTCCACGGCGGTCCGCTGATCCTTGTGTTAACCGCGTGCCTCGGTGCGTCGCACGGACGTCCGGGTCGCTGGCTCGAGCTGCGTCTGGTCGCCTGGCGCTGGAGTAAGAGAGCGATTTCCCCTCTGCGCTCCTCTATTTATCCTCCCTACCTCCAAAGGGGATGCTGCGCTGAACAATGGGCTCGTGCACCCCAAGCCCGCGCACGGCAGTCCCCAGGCGCTGTTGATATGCTAATCAGTGTGCTGCGTGCAAGGCGTAAATCCTAATTAATCCCTTACCCTCCCTAACAATGGGGCCTGCGCGCTCAAGCGCAATTATCCCAACCCTCCATGACTATGCGCAACAGCCCCTGTGACCCCGCTATTCATGCTGTCTCGTGCCTCCCCTGCTTGCCCCGTCGACTCGTGGGGGTGTGTGTGGGGGGAAATGCGCCTCTACCGCGGTGCCCGAATGCCCTACGCCGCGACCATACCATATTAAGGCCGGCCGCAGCGCCGCGGTGCCACGTAGCACGGGGAGGTCATCCAATTCCCTGATCGCCGGAAACCGTGAGAATTAATCCCGATAAGGGTCTCTCGGATAAAAACCGGTCGATCAGGTGACCTTCCCTTCCAGCTCTATGGGGGGGGGGGAATGCGTGCGGGTGTGTGCTTATGTGGGGCGGGTGATGGGGGGCAGTGCGGTGGGGGAAGCCGGGCGGCTCCCTGGTTCGGCAGAGCGGCCCCGTCGTTGTGGCACCACATGCCTCCGGGCTCTGGAGACTACCTGGAGAAGATTCCAGCCACGTGTTGACGATGATGGCGAACAACGGGAGACTCTTTGACTTTTTAAAGCTATTAACAAACATTTGTTATCATGTGACAGTGTTTTAACCGTTCTTTTTTCAATAAAAGCGATAGTCCCATATAAGTGTTAACATTTTTTTGAGGCACCCGTATTATATTGTGTGTACGTGTATTGTATTGATATAGGCTAGGATAATATCGGCGACTATGTCTGCGAGTGTGAGTGAAATCCCCTAACCCCCTCCTTTACCATTATTACTTATGGGAACATTGCTTTTGACATACGCGATTTTGAGATACGCGTGCTTTTCCAGGAACGCATCTATCGCGTATGCCAAGGAGTGCCTGTGGAGAGCGGTTAGTGTAGCGGTTAGCGTGCTGCAGTGACGATTATTTGAACTGGTCCTGGGCCTCCCCTAGGTCGACTGAACCTCAAATGAGTACCTGGTGTGATGCGGAAACATTGCCACGAGGGAGACAAAGGTGGCTGGGCGTGGTGTTGGCCACCCACCCCCTTATTTGCTGTGCCGGCCTTCATAGGTGCTCCCTAACAGCACTTGCCCCGACAGTCTATTACAGGCTATACGGGGGGTCTTTGTCTTTGTAATGCAACAAATTCTGAATTAAACTCAAGGAACAGGAACGTATGTATGTTGAGCGTCTTTCGCACCGTACGTAGCCAACCGTGCTAATCAGAGGTGTGAGGGAAGGACAACAAACTTCACACAAAATATGTTTTAAAGACGTTTGTTTTAAACATAGAAAACACATTGATTAGAGAACGTACAAAAATAAGAGACATTGTCAATAGAGGTAAGTGGGATTGTGCAGGACATTGTCGTTCTAAGGGACGGTCAAAGATAATGTCAGAATGTAAGTGTGCATGTATGTTGAACTTCTTTTGCACTGCACGAAGCCAACCGTACTAATCGCACAGTGGCAGCCAAAGGAGAAAACGCGCCTGAGACCATCCACTGCTGAGATGGAGCATTGAAATCGGCTCATTAATTGATTACGTTTTTTGGAGCCAGCTGGCCAGGGTTGGGCAAAACGTGGATCAACTTTTCACCCAGGCAACTGGAGAGCACGGACTTAGCTTGTGTGTAAGAGCAAGATCGTTGCGTCGTGAGATCCGTGAGAGATGGCGATGGCTTGGGGAGGCCGTCATCCAGCAGTGGTCCAATCGTGGCTGTCGATTTTTTTTTAGCAGGACGCCATGTCGTGCCCACGCGCAGCCTCCATGCAGCCCGTAGGAACTCCCCGCGGCGGCAGAGGGAACCAAAGTGGCGGCCGCAGCAAAGGTCTACAGAACATCAAGGTGAGCGAGGAGGTGAAGATCGCAGTGAACGTCGCGATGGAGCGCTTCCGCTACAGCGACGATAAAGGTGAGCCGGTCACCCACCGCAACCACTCAACGCCACAACCACCACCCAACCGCACAACTCACAACCACAGTGAACATCGCACAACGACACGGTCACGTGAATACAGTGGTACCTCGTTATTTACATTCTGGATATCTTCGATTTTGGCTATCCGTGAGTCACATCTGGAACTGTACACGACTCGTTGAGAGAGAGAGAAAGAAAGTGATGAGAGAGAATGGGATACGATAAAGTGATGAGATTATTTCCATGTATTTAACAGCTTATTTATGAATTTTAGGTAATTTATTATCTAATATTTTTATCCGCGAAATTCTATATTCACGAGCATCTCCGGAAAGTATCACTCGCGAATAACGAGGGAATACTATACACGACCACCCGACTGCATGACTAATCAACCGCACAACCACAGAGCCACACAAACTGTACAATCACACAACTGCCCAACCACTCACCCACACAACTGCCCAACCACACAGCTACACATCCATACAACCGCTCACCAATTCAGCCACACAGCCACACACTGTCCTTGCTTTGCATGCTGTTAGTGCCGTCATGATCCACAATTTATAATCTACCCGCAAAATATCCAATTGAGTCTAGATTTTAAGCATTGTAACATCGCTCCATACTGCGATACTACAGCGGACTCTGGAATACACAGAGCATGCAAGATTGCCTTGCGCTGTGGGAATTGCGCGGATACTAAATGTACTGAGGTGCGTGTACGTTCGTGAAAGTCTGTCCTCCTGACGTGCGATTCGCCTGCAGAGCTGGAGTTCCCTTCCTCGCTGACTAAAACGGAGCGCGCCTTCGTCCACCGCCTCTGCCAGTCGATGGGACTCATCTCCAGGAGTCGGAAGTCAGTGAGGCTCAGCTATCGGGTTTAATTAGTTGGGGTGTAACTGCAAAGTATTAATGAATTTTGATTCATAAGCTTGTGATTCATGCACTAACCTATGTACCCGCTCACCGACCCACCCACCCGCTTACCAACAATACAAGACAAAGATCCCCCATATAGTCTTAACAGACTGTTGGAGCAAGTGCTGTTCGCGAGTACCTATGAAAGCCAGCACCAAGCCTGATCGCCTTTGTCTCCCGAGTGGCGATGTTTACATACCGCATTCGGTACTCATTTGAGGCTGAGTCGACCTAGGAGAGGCGTATGATCGGTTCAGATAATTGTCACTGGTGTTGGCCGTCAGTGGGAATCGAACTTCAGTCAACGGGTTCATAGCGCAGCATGCTGACCGCTACAGTACCGCTCCCCATATCTACCTATACACCTGTCTGCCCACATGCATGTCCACCTACATGCCTACCTATCTGCATGCCTCATCATGCATTCGCGAACCCACTCATCTACTTGCCTACCTATACACCTACCCCTGTGTCTGCATGCACACCTATCCATCTAGCCACTCGCCCACCCACCCACCTATCTAACCCGCCCGCCCGCCCACTGGTAATTCACGCTGCGCCCACGTACTCGCTGCGTTCGGTAGCAAGGGGCCGATGCGGTGCCTGACCGTGCGCAAGAAGGAGAGTGCGGAGGCGGCGGGCGCCGAGATGTCATTTGTGCTGTCGCACCCGGCGCGCCACGCCGCCCATGCGCTGCTGCAGCGCTTCCCCGTCACCAGCAAGGAGCGCACCGAGCTGCTGCCCCGCACGGACCGAGCGCCGTCTGGTGTCGGCTCCGACCCAGGTTTGTTCCCGCTTTGGAGTTGGCAGTGACGTTTTTTTTGTAGTGCTCTATTAGTGCCCTTTATCAACTTAAACTAATCTATTTAGGCATTTTTTTAGCTAACACTATTTTTCATTTCACCAGGTAAGGCCCACTGAGCTGTATAGCTCTTTATCAGAAGCGACCTGGCCACAAATGAAGTGGCTTATCATGTGGACATTCATAGCAGCCAAATACACTAAACGCACGTTGATTCTTAATGTGGAGGGAAACACCAGCGGACCCGCAGAAAACTTTGCGCGAGCACGGGGTTGAGAGACACGCAAACTCCAAATATCCAGCAGATGTCTGGGTTGGGATCGAACCCACGACCTCCTGTATACCGGGCGAGGGAGTTAACATCTCGCCACCATTTGCACCCGTGATGCTGATCTAATTTGTCATGTCGCTCGCAGGGGTGAGGCACGAGATGAGCAGGCTGAGCGGGCGGCTCAACAACGGGATCCCTCAGGTCCCGCCGCCGCGGGGGCGCTCGGAGCTGGAGGCGTTCCGCCAGACCCTCCCCGTGGCCGAGTTCCAGGAGCAGCTGCTGGGCACCATCGCTAAGTCCAACATCCTGCTGGTGCTGGGCGAGACGGGCTCTGGCAAAACCACGCAGGTGCTTGCACAGTCCTACAACTTGGTGCTCCTTTATTTAGAGGAGGGAAAGAATTGGGCTCATTGGCCCACCTGATGTGAGGACCACGAGCGGGAACATGGATTTTTACTCGAATTGCGATCTTAAGAACTGCCTCTGATCACCGCTTAACTCGGCGTGTACCGCCACCCGTGTCCCCCCCCACCCCCCCCCCCCCCCCCCCCCCCGGCAGATCCCTCAGTACATCCTGGACGAGAGCACCCGCCTGGGGTGGCCGTGCCGCGTGCTCTGCACGCAGCCGCGCCGAATCTCTGCTGTCGCCGTGGCCGAGAGGGTGGCGGCGGAGCGAGGGGAGGGCATCGGCCAGACCGTCGGCTACCAAATCCGGTTGGAGAGCAGGTGTGTAGCGCTCCGGGCACTTGCGTGTTGGCGCAACGGCACTGCTCCGGCGTGCCATCGCCAGCTCGTGTTGTTCTTCTGTTGAGTGTGTGTTTTCTGTTGTTTTTGTTGTTGTGTTTTCCCTCTGTACCATGGGCTATTGTATTTTTCTCGTCATTTCATTCCAACTGTGCGAGTCGCACCTCCGATTAGCATGGTTGTCTATGTACGGTGTGAAAGAAGTTCAACATACACGCATACATACATTTGTACTTTTATCACTGTGTTTTGTTGTGTTTCTCCCTGACCTGTGCCGTGTCCTTTCGTTGAGTTGTCGTGTCATTTTTCGGTTGTGTTCAATTGCGTTTCTCCTTCCTGTTTGAGCTCTACAGTGACACAACTCTACGAAAGCCTACTCGCTACAATATATATAGCACATTTTTTGGTTAGGCGACAAAAACATCTGACAAAATACCTGTCATAAAATCCTTCCTCTGCACGATGTCGCCAAATAACAATTTGCCATGGGTATGGGTAGGGTACAGAACAATTGTCACAACCAAATTTAGCATATCGCTTATAGGCATTGTATATGATTGCTGAATTTCTGTTGATAGAATTGTTCTTCAACTCAACTGTGGGTGAGCTGAAACAATCTTGTTTGGCGCATAGTTAAACACTTTCCACCATGTGATAATTTAAATGCTTTGGCTATGTCGGCTGGTGGGAGTTACTTACGACACATTCGACCACGTAGCAAGGTTGGTTACGTACGGTGCGAAAGAAGTTCAACTTGCATACGTACGTTAAATTACGAATCACAATATTGGCTATGACAACCTAGATGTTAGGTTAACAGGAAAACACAATTGATCTATTTGAGATCCCTTTTACCTTGCGATGTAAAGCTTTCGTGACTGCAGGGATTCATCTTCTTGGTTCTTTCGGTAAAGTCACGTAGAATGGAAATAATATTCTACGTGACTTTACCGAAAGAACCAAGAAGATGAATCCCTTTTACCGTTGCGTTCTGCATGTGGCGTTGTGCAGGGTCTCGCCAAAGACACTTCTCACGTTCTGCACCAACGGCGTGCTGCTGAGGACCCTCATGTCCGGAGACAGCGCCATGTCGACCGTCACGCACATCATCGTGGTGCGTGCCAAGCTACCGTCGCCCTCCACACCGGTGCTCAAAAGTTGATTGGGTCAAACCCAAGATGTGGCCAGTTCCGGTTTCTGAGTTTTTGTTCAGTTTAGTTTTTTAATCATTGGATTGACAACGGGCTGTACATGGTGAAATTAAACTATATGAAGCTGGTGCTGATGCTGCTGATGGTTAAAGGTGATGATGGTGGTGATGCTGATGTTGCTGCTGCTAAGGGTGGTGGTTATTGATGGTGATGGTTCTGCTGGTGGTGGTGATGGTTAAGGGTGGGGATGATGGTAGTGATAATGGTGGTGGTGGTTACGGGTGGTGATGGTGGTGGTAGTGCTGGTGTTGGTTCTGGTAGTGGTGCTGGTGGTGGTTCTTGAAGGGTGGTGCTGGCCACCCACCACCTTGTGTACCGTGCCGGCCTTCATAGGAGCTACTCGCTAACAGCATTTGCCCCAAAAGGTCTGTTAAGGCTATACGGGGGATCTTTGTCTTGTTAGGTAGTCATGATACATTTTTTAACTGGTGGTGGTGGTGAAATTGATAATGGTGATGATGGCGGTGGTAGTGGTGGTTAAATAGATGACGATGATGGCAGCAGCATTGGTGGTGATGTATCCACTAGGACGAGGTCCATGAACGCGACCGCTTCTGCGACTTCCTGCTCATCAAGCTGCGCGATATTCTGGAGCGGCAGTGCAACCTGCGCGTCGTGCTGATGAGCGCCTCCCTCAACGTCTCGCTCTTCTCCAAGTACTTTGGCGGCTGCCCCATCATCCGCTGTGAGAGATCGCTAAATCCATCCGTCAGTTTCACTAACACGTAGCAGGCTTTCGCGACAAATATTATCCATGATAGAGGTTTTTGGGTTAGACCGCGTCAATATAAATGTGCTGTTAAACCCGACACAGCCAATTTGTAAGATTTGTCACGTTAACAAAATATGACAATTCATTACTAGTACAGCGCACCGTTGTGTTGGAGGGTAAACCCACAACATTTACCACTAGAGTACGACATTTTCTGGTTGTAATTACCGAATGGTAAATGTTGTAGGTTTACTCTCCAACACACCGGTGTGCTGAATTAGTAACTCGTTGGCATGTTTTGTTTACTTGACAAACCTTACTAATTGGCTGTGTTGGGTGGTGGCGGGTTTAACGAACATTTATATTTACGCGATCTAACCCAAAAACATCTTCATATGTAGTGTATCAAGTACCGTATTTAATATTTAACACTGAAGTCAGGTTTGTCATTTAAACATGGCATTTTTTTTTCGATTTAAAGCTTTCGTGACTGCAGGGATTCATATTCTTTGTTCCTTCGAAATTTTTTGTTCGTGACAAACCTTACTAATTGGCTGTGTTGGGTGATGGCGGTTTTAACGACACATTTATATTCACTCGATCTCACCCAAAAACCTCTATTCTGGAAATTCATCCGTGCGGCGGCAACAGCGGTGGCGGCAACGCCGCCCCCGCGGGTACCCGTGACGGCGATGTTGAACGTGGCGGTGTGGAACATGGCGGCGTTGAACGTGGCGGTGTTGAACGTGGCGGTGTGCACGGCGTGTTGCCTCTGGTCCGTGAGCCAGTGCCCGGGAGGCTGTTTGAGGTGAAGCGGCTCTTTCTGGAGGACATCCTGCGCACCACGGGTTACAAGTCCAAGGAGATGGAGAGATACCAGAAGGAGAAAGATAAACGTACGCACAGCCGGCAAAACCACCCCCCTCATTGCTTGAGAGAGCCTCCCATTGTGCTGACGCGGCGTTCTACAACTGTATCGGAATTCATCTTGATTTGAAGCTTTCGGGACTGCAGGAATTCATACTCTTTAGTTATTTCGGTAAAGTCACGTGGGTAGAAAGTTTCGATCGCCACACAAGCAATCGTCTTCTGTCTCTTCTCTCTCACCTGAAGTCGGTTGCTTGTGTGGCGATCGAAACGTCGCGATCTATTATTTTTTCTGCCTACGTGAATTTACCGAAAGAACTAAAGAGTATGTATCGGAATTACCTCCTATAATCACCCAGAAATGTCTGTCCGTCCGTCCCGCGCGTGACGTCACTCCACATGAGGGCCGCCCCCCCCCGCGTGACGTCCCTCCACATGAGGCCCACCCCCCTCATTAATATTCATGAGTGGGTGGATTTTTACACTAACGCAGAGGAAGGTCGAGCCGAATTAAATAATTTATTACGCAAAGTCGCTTCAAATATGACGACGTTTCTTTACAGAAAGTGACGGTAAGAAATAAATCTACGCAGCACAGTGCTACATCCGTGCGTGACGTCACTGCAAAAGAGCCCCCCCCTCATTAATATTCATGTCCGCGTGGAAATTTACACTAACGCACAAGAAGGTCGCGCACTCCACATGCCGCACCCCTCCCCTCATTAATAATCATGAGCGGGTGACGTCACTCCACATGCCGCACCCCTCCCCTCATTAATAATCATGAGCGGGTGACGTCACACATGCTGCACCCCTCCCCTCATTAATAATCATGAGGGGGTGACGTCACTCCACATGCCGCACCCCTCCCCTCATTAATGATCATGAGCGGGTGACGTCACACATGCTGCACCCCTTCCATTAATAATCATGAGCGGGTGACGTCACTCCACATGTTGCACCCCTCCACAATAACCATGAGCGGGTGACGTCACTCCACATGCCGCACCCCTCTCCCCAATAACCATTAGCGGGTGACGTCACTCCACATGGGGCAACCCCCCCCTCATTAATAATCATGAGCTGAACAATTTTTCTATTGAATATTTCAGATTTACTACAATATACACCTGTCCTTGGACAGGCAAAGAAGATAGTCAGGAGAATGTTCATATTGGAGGAATCCGATGAGCTATAAAGCTCTTTCTCCCTCCCTCCCTCCACTCCTCGTCTCAACCAGCCACTGTCAACTGCAGTCTTTTGTCGCTCTTCTTCTTCACGATTGTGCAATCGCGTCGCCACCGTAGTCGTGTTGTTATTATTATTAACATTGTGAATGTTCTCGCTATTGTTGTTGTTTGTTGTTGTTTTATAAAGTAGCGCCCGTGTTGTTACTGCTAATGTCTGGCGGGGCCACGTAATGGCAAAAAATAGCTACGTAGGTTTTCGCAGTCAATAATTCCTAATAAAGTGCTGGGTTAGGCCATGTAACGATCTGGTCAAATCTGTGCAGTTAAGACCCTCCACCACCCTGACGCAGCCAAACTAATTAGACCGTCACGTGGTCTACAGGTGTTTAACGATGTGCTCATTGTTATTGTTTCAGTTGTCCCACCGGTGAGTTGAACAATTCCCATCGCCAGATTTAACGATTAGATACGCGAAGTTTCGCTTGAAACTACACCAAGCATTATCAGGTCAATACCCAGGAAGTCCGAATAATCGCGTCACCTGACCAGGCTTCTTCTTAGCTGCCATGACTTGTGAAGGCATGTGCACTGTGTATGTGTCTCTGCTTGCATCTGTGTTTGTGTGTGACCCTCATCGCCAATATCAGTGGCGGTTATCCAAACCAGTCCTGTCCTGCACCTGCCGTAGGTCCAGTATGGCACGGTGGGCGCCACTGTGGCTAGGAGATGTTAACTACCTCGCCTGGTATTCAGGAGGCCGTGGGTTCAATGCCAACCCAGACATCTGCTGTATATTTGGAGTTTGCGTGTCTCTCTCTCATCATCATTGTGGCTAGGAGATGTTAACTATCTCGCCTGGTATACAGGAGGCCGTGGGTTCAATCCCAACCAAGACATCTGCTGTATATTTGGAGTTAGCGTGTCTCTCTCCCCGTGGAGTTTGCATATTCTCTCTGTGCTCGTGTGGATTTTTCTCCGGGTCCTCTGGTTTTACCCTCTACATTTATAATCAACATGCATTTAGAGGATTTAGCTGCTGCTATAAATTTCCACTTGATGACGAGCCACTTTCTTGAGCTATCATTTGTGTGGCCAGGTCACTTCTGAAAAATAGCTACATAGCTCAGTGGGCCTTACCTGGTAAAAAAAAGTAGTTTTTCTTTGTTAAATCGGTCGACTCAGCCTTAAATGAGTACCTGGTGCAGCGAATAGACAAAAGGCGACACCACCTCCTCTTGCGCCGTGCCAGCCTTCACATGCGCTCGCGAACAGCACTTGCCCCAACAGTCTGTTGAGGCTATACCGGGGGGGGGGGATCTTTGTGTTTGCGTGTGCGCAGTGGAGAGCCAGCAGAACAAGCTGAGCGAATGGTACGAGGCGAAGGAGACGGGATCGAGCGTGCCAGTACGCAGTGCCAGCGCCGCATGCCTCCCGGATCACACCAAGATGCTCAACGACGAAGGGGAGAGCGCCTTCGTACAGGAGGTATGTCGTGTGGAACGCTGGGGTGGGGGCAGGGGATGTTAACTACCTCGCCTGGTATACAGGAGGTCATGGGTTGGATCCTGACCCTGATGTCTGCTGTTTATTTGGAGTTTGCGGTGTCTCTCTCTCCGTGGTCTTGTGAATTTTTCTCCGGGTCCTCTAGTTTTTCCCTCCACATTTAGAATAAACGTCACGCATTTTAGAGTATTTGGCTGCTATAAATTTTCACATGATGATGAGCCCCCACTTCGTTGCGCTATCATTCATTGGCCAGGTCGCTTCGTAAAATAAAAAATAGTTTAGTTTAGGGGAAGGAACCCTCCCCTCTCTTGGGTTTTGGTTTTTTGTGTTCCCAAATTTCCTATCAGTAATTTGAGCCCATTCTTAAGTAACGTTTTTTTTGTCATTGCTTTGTTATCATTTTATTATTGCATGGCTGAGAAATGCCGTTGCGTGAAGGACACTCCCATCAATGATAAATAATAAAATAATAATACATTGTTAAACTCATGGACAGGCAGGGTGGCGCAGTGGTTTGTATGTTCTCCCCCTGTCCTTCATGGGTTTCCTCTGGTTTCGGGTTCCCTAGCTTTTATGTGTGTATCTAAGTTTCCGTGAGCGTCCATGTTACGCGTCTTTGTGCGTTTCGTGTGCCGCACTGTGAATCCGGTAACCCTAGTTTGGTTCCCACTCACAGGGCATCGCCTAAGTCAACTCGGCATGAAATGAGTATCTGGCGCGGTGTGTAAACATCGACGCTGGGGCGACAGAAGCGGCCCGGCGTGGATTCTGGCCGCCGTGCCAAGCCTTCATCAGTGCTCGCTCACAGCCCTTGCCCCAACAGCCCGAGGCTATATGGGGGATCATTGTATTTGTGTGTTTGTGTGGCGAGTGTTGGCGCAGTGGTTAGTGCACTGCGCAAAGAACCCGGCAACCCGAGTTGAATTCCTATTACCTGGTGCGGTGTGTAAACATCGCCGCTCGGGAGACAAAGGCGGCCGGGCGTGGTGCTGGCCACCCACCCCCTCAGCACTTGCCCCAACAGTCTGTTTCGGCTATACGACGGGGATCTTTGTGTTTGCGCGGACAGGCGGAGCGCGATGGCTCCAACCTGGAGCCGTGGCTCCTCAAGGAGATGGACGCGTGCATCAGCAACCTGTGGATGAATAGGGACGAGGACGCCTTCACGCAGCTGCTGCACCTGCTGCTCAGCGAGCGCGTCAGTGGTGCGTGCCGGGCCAGCGTGACATTGGAACAGGGTGGCTGGGAAATACCCTCCCCCCTTCCTCCCCTCCCCACTTCTTCCCCTGTTAAACCGGTAGCCCTTTTCTGAATCGGTTAACACCTCGGTGGCGAGATGTTAACTACCTCGCCTGGTATACAGGAGGTCGTGGGTTCGATCCCGACCCTGACGCCTGCTGTATATTTGGAGTTTGCGGTGTCTCTTTTTCTCTCCCCGTGGTCGCGTGGTTTTTCTCCGGGTCCTCCGGCTTTTCCCTCCACATTTGGAATCAACGTGTGTTTAGGGTATTTGGCTGCTATAAATTTTCCACATGATGATAAGTCACTTTACTGAGATAATTCGTGACCAGGTCGCTTCTGAAAAAGTGCTAAACAGCTCAGTAGGCCTTGCCTGATCAAATAAAATAGTAAAAAATATATATTGTTCCCTGTTCCGAGAGTCAGGAATCGGAAAACCGTTTTTTTTATCAGTGGAACGGTTTGCGATGGATGCCTTGACTGGCCCACGTGCATGGCGGCCCTAGTCATGGTTTGGCCTCGTTTCTTATTTAAAAGGATGAGGTGCTGCCCCTCTATTGCTGGCCTGCTCGCTCGTGCCACCGTTGCTGAAAGAGCCTACACTAAAGGGGGGCTGTGATTTACTAAACTTGCTTCATCGTTTCAACTGCCAAATCGGTGACCTCTAGATTGGACGGCCAGTACTGCCAACCATTACAACTCGGAAGCTCCCTACGTGTTAGCGTAAGAATTCGAATATTCTAATCAATGCGTTGCTACACACCTGCCGCTGAAGCTGCTTCTGCTGCCGCTGCTGCTACCGCCACTGCTGCCGCCGCCGCTACTGCTGATGGTGATCGTCTCTCTACCGGGCAGTTGACTACAGGCACAGCGAGACGACTGCCACGCCGCTGATGGTGGCCGCAGGACATGGCTTCATTGGCATCGTGGAGCAGCTGCTCCGGATGGGGGCCAACGTCAACGTGAAGGCCTCCAACGGCATGTGAGGGCACCTGCACCCCCCTCCCCATCCCCCCTCGCTCACAATCGGGCGGTGACACGGCCCTGGCGGAAGCACGTTGGCTGCTCGTCGCTATGGAGGTGGGGGGGGTGGGGGTTTCGCGTTTCAAATCGGGACGGCTTCCCCGGTTACTGCCGGTACGTCGATCGTAAACGCTGCGGCGCGCCGTCCGCTTCGCGTTCCTCATTAAATGATCGCGTGACGCTGTTCTTCAAGTGAGTAGGCAACATTGTACCGCTGCGACGGTCCAAAATTTGTAAGGAAAAAAATTAGCCACTGTTTACTTTTAATTGGGTTAAATCAAATTGCAACTTCACTCCCTAATGGCAGACTTACACTCCCCTGTGAACTATTGCGTACTTCCACCTCTTCTGAGAAGTTTAACCAGCTTGGAAGAGTAGGCCAAATTCCCTCTGGGGGGGGGGGGCTCTCTTCTGTGAGCAGTCGCGTAAGCGAGCGATTGCAGGGCTGAACCTTTCAACGTCACCTTGCGTCTGCGATGTTTGGCCATTCGTTTAAGGAGCGTGTTGCTTGATAAGGGATTACATTGCATTTACCATGAAAGATATTTAAAGTTGCGAGGGGATAGCATTGAAAAATTCCATAAAGACCATTTCATGAACCCGCTTGCTGTACTACCGCTGACCCCGCGGGAACCGGCGTGTTGTTGATTTAGCCGGACTCTCGTCCGTGCACGTGTGTTCTACCGAGTGAGTCACAAACGTGAAAAGTCAAGTACACGAACAAAACAAAACAGAAAAATCCCCTCCGTGAGAACACGTGGCGTTGGGATTCCTGGCATCGCTGAACTATATTTGGCCTTTTGAAAAATCGAAACGGAAAACTGCGTGGCTGAAAGTGTTCACGTCGGTGTCGTGCTAAATTTACATTTCTGCTGCAACGTTGAATTTACAAGCGAAGCGGGCGGGAGGGAGCCACACCGAACAATTTAAAAAGTGTCACCGGTTGTTATTGTGCAGCGCAACGGCCACACAATACTCTTTTGTTTCAAGGGGGTGGGTGGGGGTCATGTTTGAAACGTTGCCAACTTTTGGCACGTTGTGCAAATTCTTTAACTGATGGCATCCTCGCGCCGTCTGTGTGCGAGGGCCAAAAGTGTCTCCTCCTTCCTGGAATTTTTCCAAACTTGCTCCTCACTCCTCCGCTCACTCCTGTCCTGGGCCATCACCTCCAACATCCACTCCGCAGTCCTGGTCCCACCACTTAAAACCACCTTCGGCCTCCTCCCTCGTGCTTCCATGTTCATCGCCTTTATTCTTCCTGTGTGGTTGTCCTCCCTTCTTACGCCACAATCTTCTGAGTCGACTTTCTTTCGGCTTGTCTGGAGATGCGCTCCACTCTTAGTGGTGATCAGAATGAGCCGTTTATGATCGGGCAACCTTCCTTTGTGCCGGGCCGCGTTAGTGTTTTGCCAGTTGGAGGCGACGGTTGCCGTGCGTGATCACAGTCGTGTAATTTCCGGTGTTACGTTTGAATTTAGCAAATTTGGAATGACATCGGAAAGTCCACTGTGAGTCAAGCAGATAGTGCATAGTATTTTACGGTTAACACACATGGCAGTAGTAACCAGGGTGGTCTGCCCTGATGCGAATTGACAAACCTTCAGCAAGTGGCCAGAGGCCGACCGCTCGGCCGCGTCTCCGCCGTTTTCCCCGTCGCCGGATATCCGGTCTGGTGATCCCTGACGCCCATCTCGTCCTCATTTACATTGTGAACAACATCTGCCTCTCTCCCTGGTGTTTGTTTTTTGGGTCCGACAGTCACGTGCGTACGTCAGTGCTGGTGCCGCCCCCCCCCCCCCCCCCTCTGAAAGATGTGCCGCCCCGTGCTCATGTTCGGGTGCGGCGCAAGCGCTCGTTGCCGCCGTCGAGACGAGCCCCCAATGCCCTTACCATGGTTTTTTTCCCCGCAGGAACGCTTTCGACTGGGCGAAGAATTTTAATCACTTGGAAGTGGTGGAGCTGATGGAATCGTTTGTGTACGTATCAGCATATACCGCCTTATTCGGGCACTGATTTAATGTAATTCATCGTAGCTGGCAGCGCAGTGGTGACACTTGCGCCCCACAGCAAAAAGGTGCCTGGATTCGATACCCGACTCGGGATTCTGTTTCTGTGGGGTTGAGTTTGTATGTTCTCTCCACAGTTTTTCATGGGTTTTCCTCCAGCTTTTCTGGTTTCCTCCCAAAGCTAAAAGCAACAAAAACATTCGATGTAATTGTATTGGTCACACATTCCAGTGCTGAAAATGTATCCTGCACATTGCTCAAATGGGATCACACATTTCCCCTTATTTTGAAACATAACTTGGCAGCATCCTCATGAAAAAATGCCTTGAGACTCAGTGAGGCTTTCCTGCGTACTTAACAACCATAATAGTAGTCACAAAACAGATTATCGTCATCAGCCATTTTCAATCCCCTGGAAGAATGCCTCCCCAATAAGTCACGTCTCACACAATCTCACGATTCAACAATCTACCCGGAGAAAAATTCCCGTGACCACGGGGAGAACACGCAGACTCCAGATATACAGGCGTCAGGGTCGGGATCTGCCTGGCACTTGCACAAGGGCTAATTTCGCCACACTGACGCCATATCGGATGTTCCGTCCGGCACTGAACATCATTGTTATAATTTTTTGTCGTTAAAAAGGCATACGCGAGTTTGAGACGTGATTTGACTTTTTTTAATGAGTGGGCTTGGGTAGGATGCGCGAAGGGACGATGGCCGGTGGTTGGGACTCTAAAGTAACAGCGAAGATGGGAACACGACCGGCCAAGATACACTTCCACCGTGGAGATGAAATCAGTCGTGTGCAGGTGCCTGGATAGATTCTTGCATCGCAGGAGCGTGAGGTGATGGTTGACAGCTTGGGGAGTCCCTGATCCAGCTGTAGATTGAGCATGGCTTATAATGGTTATTACTAATATGTGGCCAACATTCTTAAATCTCTCACTGCCCCTGTCCACCCAGCAGTGTGAGGCGCCACGGTGGCTAGGAGATGTTAACTACCTCGCCTGATATACAGGAGGTCGTGGATTCAATCCCGGCCCTGACGCCTGCTGCCGTATATTTGGAGTCTGCATGCTCTCCCCGTGGTCACCTGGATTTTTATCAGAGTCCTTCGGTTTTTCCCTCCACATTTAGAAACATGCATTTAGAGTTTAATAATAGGTCTTCCTCATTTATTCTGGCAACAAACAGGTGTTACGATGTTAAAACACCAAACTGAAACCTCTTGCAAGGAATCATGTCTGCATTAACCACAGATACTTGCGGTGGAAATACAAATAAAAAACATGCTCTAACAGTATATGCATTGTCTTTGAAACTGATTGGTCCACACCAGAGACAGCTTTTTTTAGAGCCTCGTCTCAAACAGTGTTAGACCAGAGGGTGCCAAACGCGAATGCTGTGTGAGACGAGGCTCTAAAGAAAGCTGTCTCTGGTGTGGACCAATCAGTTTCAAAGACAATGCACATACTGTCAGAACATGTTTTTTTTTGTATTTTCACCGCAAGTATATGTGGTTAATGCAGACATGATTCCTTGCAAGAGGTTTCAGTTGGTGTTTTAACATCTTAACACCTGTTTTGTTGCTAAAAAAAGGGGAAAACCTATTCTTATATTTTGACACTGGCAAAGGAGGTCCCATGATGCATTTGGAGTATTTTGCTGCTGTACATTTCCATCTGATAAGCTGCTTCGTTGACCTATCATTTGTGGCCAGGTCACTTCTGAAAGAGAGCAATGTAGCTCAGTGGGCCTTACCTGCTAAAGTAAAATAGTTTTAGTTGAGTTCTCACCCTGTTTGTCTCCCTGGGCTCGCAGGGCCTTACCTGCTAAAGTAAAATAGTCTGAGTTGAGTTCACCCCCTGTTTGTCTCCCCGGGCTCGCAGGGCCTTACCTGCTAAAGTAAAATAGTCTTAGTTGAGTTCTCACCCTGTTTGTCTTCCCCGGCTCGCAGAGCCTCGGTGGGCGAGGGGGGGCCTGACGAGAGCACGCTGGCCAACGCCAGCACGGAGCTGAGCCCCGAGGAGCGCGAGCTGCTCAGCGTCTACCACCACACCTTCGACGACGACAAGGTGGACCTCGATCTCATCCTGCACCTCCTCAACCAGATCTGCCAGGGCTCCAGCGATGGTGGGTGCCGTCCACCGCGACGTCGTCGATGGTGGTGGTGGTGGTGGTGGTGATGATGATCGTTATTATTATTATGATGTCAATGATTTGTTGTTGATACAGCTGCCCTCCTTTACGCCGCGGCTTCTCGGAGTGATTTGCACCCGATTTGCGCCTTTCAATGGTCATGTCCTAACAACACATTTGGAAGGGCACCCACAGTGGCAGCTGTCCCTGCGCGCCACAAGGTGACTCGGCACCTGGCCTGTACGCGGGGCATGAGTCTGCCAGTAAGGGGCAATGATCGCTGCTTTGTATAGTCCCAGATAAGTAATTTGCAGGTTTTTTTTATTTTACAAATAATTATTATAACACCGGTCCGCAGGGGCCTGCACTTGCGAATGACGTCACAGGATCTTGGATTCAAACTGCAAACCTCGGCTGCTGTATAGCTTGAGAAAGCAGTGCTGTGGTTTTCGAGGCAGCAACGGATCCAAGGGATGGGGGGGGGGGCGATGGTGGTGATTTCCCCCCACCCCCATTCACATACCAATTTAAATAATTGGTATGTTATAGATGTTTGATAGAAAATGCGTTGAATGTTGTTTATATTAATGTCTAGGGCCCACCAATCAACCTCCTTTATACCTCGCCTGGTTAATGCAGGAGGTTGTGGGTTCCATCCCGATCCTGACGCCTGTATATTTGGGGTTTGCGTGTTTTCCCCGTGGTTACGACGTCGCGCGTACATGACATCATCGTGGGGAGGGGGGAGGAAAGGGAGGCGCTTGCCTTCTTTGAGCCCCGGTTTCTTCTCCTCCAAATATTGCCCAGCACTTTGATCAATTCATGTTCACGTGCTAATGAGAAGAGCTGTTGCCTGAAACGTTGCCTATTTTATGTTTGATCGCCATATACTGAATAATATTTTCAAGAGTTATCATGCCTTCAAATGACAGACAGACAGACGGAGAGAACTAGTGCATCAACGCTTTAAACCTCAGCTGATAGAGCTTTAAACAATACCGTTGAGTGCTTTCTTGATGTTTGTTGTTGGTGCCGCTGTTGTTGTTCAGGAGCTGTGCTGATTTTTCTGCCGGGCTACGATGAGATCATCACCCTGCGGGACCTCATTCTCTGCGATGACAAAAGATTTGCGGAGCAGAGCCACAAGTGAGTATGCTTTACCCATCTTCCCGACTCTGATGGGTGACCTGCTGCTGCTGCTGCGGGTGTACGCGTGTACCCGTTTGCGAAGGGGTAGGGCTCGTGTCCTTCAGCTTGGTGGCGTTGTTTTTTGTCCCTGTTAGCCGCCGTTTGCACACATAGCCATTGGCACTCGTACCGTGCGTACGGCGGGTCGGTGACCGGTAGCCGGTTGACGACGATCCTCGTTGTTGTTTTCTGACTTTGAGCGCCTTGTGAAGGTTGCCATCTTGCACCCAGACACATATTTTCTCTAACTCTCTCGCTCTGTGCTACGGTGATCATGACCCTTCTATTTAGCTCTGCCTGTGATATTTACTCAAGAACTATGCTTGAAATACTCCTAGTTGCATCCAATTGGTCAAATTGCTCATGTACTTTTTTTATTGAGGCAAAGGACGGGCCCATTATATCACATTGTGACGCACGTACACACCGTCAACATAAACTAAACCGGTTATGAAAAGCAGAGGATAGAAAGATGGGGAGCAGACCCGCTGCCCCAAACCAGACTGGTCCCCACCGAAAGGAGTAAATTGCTCACTTAATTCGCTGCCTTCCCCGGCTTCTTGCATAGCAAATTGCACGTCATACGAAGTAAGATGGAGTGGGTAGGAGGGCGTGATGTTACCTCCCTGACCTCGTATGCAGGAGGTCGTGGGCTCGATGCCGACCCTGACGCCTGCTGTGTGTTTGGAGTTTGTGTGTCTCTCTCCCCGTGGTTGCGTGGATTTTTCTCCGGGTCCTCAAGTTTTTTCCCTCCACATTTAAAATCAACGTGCGTTTATAGTATTTGGCTGCAATATGTTTCCACGCGATAAGCCACTTTGTTGAGCTATCATTTGTGGCCAGATTGCTTTTAAAAAAAAGCTGCATACCTCAGTGGTCCTTACCTTGTAAGATACAAATAGTTTAGTTTAGACGTCGCCTAGCAGTAGCGCGTTCACCGCTTGTTTGCAGAGGTTCACGTTTCGAATCCAGAGGCCGCCGGGGCGGAGCTAAAGAGTTCCGTCGCTTGTTGTGGCAGGTTCCACGTGTTCACCCTCCACTCCAACATGCAGACGTGTGACCAGAGGAGAGTTCTCAAGAGCGTGCCGCCAGGAACCCGCAAAATTGTACGTATTTTATTATATTCTCTCCTCTAGCCTTGGTCGTTCCTATATTGGTTCACCAGGGTGGCAGCAGCAGCAGCACAGCGGTAACGTGCGTGCCTCGCAGCAAGAAGAGCCTGGGTTCGACTCCCGACTCCCCCTGTTGTGCATTGGGTATCCTCCGGGTTGTTGGAGGCTTTTCTCCCATAGCAAAACAAAACAACCTGCACACCATGTTACCGGTATTGGGCAAGCATCCAAATGCTTGCAAAAATGTATCTTGCAAATGATTCAATTGGGATTACACACAGCAGCGGCAACATAGTGCCCCTACTGCAGAAACGCTCATGAACAATAGTCGAGAAACCCAGTGAGGCTTTCCTGGGTAAAGTAGCGCAATAATACATTGAGCTCGAATGTTCAAAGTCTGTTCAAGTTTGTTGAACTGATTTGTTTTATTTGCGTGTGTGCAGTTGGGGTGTTGCATTAACTCACACACTATTTAGTTTGGGAATAAAGAACGCGAAGCGACATCGCCGCTTACTTGCAGACAAATTCCCGTTTGCGGTACGCTCCAGCGTACACCTTGAGCCACAAATGGACAGCTGCCACCGGGGGTTCCCTTGGCTACATTTCAGCAGGGCATTGGAATGATTGAGATGAAATGTGATGTCAGCCACTCTGAGTTGCTGAGGTTTCTAAGCAATGCCCTGTACATGCAAATCCAGGATGTCTTAACGAAATGCAGGAAGTCAGAATAACCGTGTCACCTGACTCCCGACTTCTTTAACAGGTGTCATGTATGTTGAAATTCTTTCACGCCGTACGTAGCCAACCGCACTATTGGAGGTGCGGGGAAGGACAAAAAACTAAACACAACAAGCGATTATAAAAAAAATTAGAATTCAATCTAGATTTAAAACAACAGATACTGTGTAAAACAACAGTTTAGTTCAACATTTAGTTTTTTCATGACAGCAAGTCCTCGACTTACAAACACCCACACTTACGAACACCAGACTTACGAACACCCGTACTTTAGAACACCCTACTTATGAACACCCGCACTTACGAATCAGCTTCCATGAAATATACATTTTTCTAACACCGACTTGAAACGTGAACTCGCGCTTGCAAACTGAACCACGGGACTATTTCGTTCAGCGGTGCGATCCTGTCTAGATTTAGAAGATTGTTTTCACGGTGATGAACGTGTGTGTGTGTAGAGGTGGTTACAGCTCGCTCTGTCTCTTTTCATTTTGTTTTAACCCCGAACCCTTCCGCAAGATCCTGTCGACGAATATAGCGGAGAGCAGCATCACGGTGAACGATGTGGTGTTCGTGATCGACTCGGGGAAAGTGAAGGAGGTGCTGACCCACATGTGCAGAGAGCGCGTGCACGCACACGCACACGCACACACACGCACACGCACACACACACACATGCACGCACACGCACGCGCACACACGCGCACATCAGCGATGAAACGCTGTTCCACGAGATATGAGGGATCTCGAATCTGTGGACATTTTAAAAATGCCCCTCAATACTTATTTATACGCTTCCGCTTATTAAATGTTTTGTTCATTTAGTTAATGATTTTCTAAATATATTTATAATATTTTTTTTATGCTGAGTGTCTGCTGCTGCTGTGTCCTGTACAGCACTTTGAGATCCTTAATTAAAAGCGCTATATAAATGTAATTATTATTATCGTCGGCCATGGTCTATCCACTGATGTGGAATAACATGGCGCCCTTAAATGTCTTATTCTTCCCTTGTTTGCTGTCAGACGTCTGCATCAAAGTCGCCCGTCGGCTCGATCGTCGCCACTTCACTCGCATTAATCATCGGTCTCGTTTCACTTGGGGGGGGGGTCACGCTGCCCGGTGCTAGCGAGCTCATTCGCCGCTAGTAGCAGAGGTTCATGGTTCGAATCCGGCAGGCCACCCTGGTTATCATCGCCGCGGTGTGTAACGACCCGATACATTCCACGCGACGTCTGCTTCGGTGGAATGTTGAAGACCCCGTGACGTCATTCCCAATGAGTAGGCCATTGTGTGCCGGCTTGACCGGCAAAATTTTTTATATCACCCTCCCCGCGCAGATTATTACTCAATTGGGTTCATAATAAGGTTTGTTGGGTTAGATTGCGTAAATACGAATAATATTGTTCGTGAAAGCGTACATGTTAAACTACTCAAATTAGTATTTTCAGGTAGCAATATCGTCCCCCCCACACCCCGATTGCGAAATATTTAGCAGGACCCTCCTGAGAAAGAGTTTTTGAGACTGTGTGACGATTCCCTGAGTAATAAATGATGTCTATATTTTAGGAGAGAAAGCGGAGGTGGTAATGTTTGGCTGCTCATGGTGACTGTGCGGCCCGTCCTGTCCGCAGAAATCGTACGACGCGCTCACCTCGGTCACCATGCTCAAGACGGTCTGGATTTCCCAGGCCAGCAGCCTCCAGAGGAGGGGCAGGTATGGGTGTACACAGGTGTACATCAACACGGCACCTCCGATTAGCATGGTTGGCTGCGTACGCTGCGAAAGAAGGTCAACGTACATACGTACATAAATGCATCGTCTTGGACGTCATCTCATCTGGTACAAGGTGACTCATCACCGAGTGCGCTGTCAGTAGCTCCCGAGTGGGGCGACGGTTGCCACAGCAACACCACTGTTTGCATAGTTCCGGCTGTAAGCGCATCGGGGCAAAAGAGATGATGGGAGAGTGAATTCCAAAGCGGAAAAGTGCGAGGGAAGAAGCGAAGTGGGTGAGTGTTGTTAGTGGGTGAGTAGGTGAGTGAGTGTGTTGTAGTGTAGGGGTTAGCGTGCTGCGCTACGAACCTGACGACCCTGGTTCGATTCCCGCTCATGGTCAACAGCAGTGACAATTATCTAAACCGTTCCTGCTCCTCCCCTAGGTCGACTCAGCCTCAAATGAGTATGTGATGCGGTGTGTAAACATCGCCACTGGGGGAGGCAAAGGCGGCCGGGCGTGGTGTTGACCACCCACCTCCGCCTGTGCCACAATGCCGGTCTTCATAGGTGCTCGCTAACAGCACTTACTCCTGCCGTCTGTTAAAGGCTATACGGGGGATCTTTGTGTTTCTGTCATTAGCACACGTGCGCCACAAATCGAGCAACCCGGGTTTGTTTTCATCGCCGTGTATTGCGACTCAATTGGGAATCTTTGTGTTGTTGTTGTGACCTGCACTTGAGAGTGGTTGAACACAGCGTGGACGAGATGGAAGTATCGCTCCCGTAGACCGCATCACAGCACGATTTGTGGAAACAATGAGTGTGTGGGCTAAAAATGTGGAATTTTTGTCTTGATGTTTTGTCGGGCAGGGCTGGGAGGTGTCGCCCCGGCATCTGCTTCCACCTGTTCAGCAAGGTGCGCTTCCAGAACATGCTCGAGTTCCAGACCCCCGAGCTGCTTCGAGAGCCGCTGCAGGTACGAATGACGCAGGCCACAGGCAGCCAGAAGGCGGGGGGGTGGACGCCGTCGCGTGACGTAGAGGGCCTTCAGGCTGACGTTGGCCCCCATCCTAAACAGCTTTTTCGACAGTCCTCACGAAGCCACGGCCGGTGGACACGGTCAGCGGCGTGACGCTCGTCTCGCTGTGCCTGTCTGCAGCATCCCAGGGATAAACGTTCATCATCGCCATCTTCATCATCGCCATCATCGCCATCTTCATCATCGCCATCATCACCATCTTCGTGATCATCAGCAGCATCGCCATCTTCATCGTCGCCATCATCGCCATCATCATCAGCAGCATCATAGCCTCTGACCAAGAGTGCCCGGAATGCGCCAAATATTGTCAGATCGCGGAAACTAACGCAAACAGTATGATGCGTGTAACGTGGGTGAAGGAAACGGTTTGCATTGTGTACAGTGGGGATAATTAATAATTAATACTTTTTTGGGTTCAGGTCGCCACGTGAGCAAAATAGCAATGCGTGTCGTACACCCTCCTCCATCCGACACAGCCAGTAAGGTTTGTCACGTAAACAAAACGTGCCAATTAGTTTACTACTTCAGCCGACCGGTGTGTTGGAGAGTAAATCCACAACATTCACAATTTGAGTAGTACGACGTTTCGCTGATAATTACGTCCAGCATCATCGGGCGATTTGCCAGAATAGATTTGCCACAATATGCTATTCCAGCAGCGATGCTGCGCCGAGGCAGCCGTGCAAACCGCTTGAATGACGCTAATATAAAACGAAAGTGTTATTATTATAATGCTTTTAAATAATAAAATAGAGGATAAACGGGAGGGTGGTGCCGTCATGGTGATATTTGTTTTGCGGATCACTTGCACCACCTCTGCCCCTGCTGCTGCCCCTGCTGCCCCTGCTGCTGCTGCTGCTGCCCCTGCTGCTGTTGCTGCTGCTGTTGCTGCTGCTGCTGCTGTAGGAGCTGTGCCTGCACACCAAGCTGCTGGCGCCCACCTGCATGCCGATCGCCGAGTTCCTGGCCAAGGCTCCGGATCCCCCGCCCAATCTCATCGTCCGCAACGCCCTGCAGATCCTCAAGGTGCGGTGGGGAGGGGCGGCCTTCGCAACGCCTCGCCCAGACGACGGCGCTTGTGTTGCCTCTCTGTTTGTAACATCGCCTTCCAGGAGTTGCTGGTTCGCGATTGATTTCTTTGTTGTCTGGGTTTAGGCCGCGTCGTGGTCTGGCCACGTTTGTGACGTTAAAAACCCTCCACCGCCTGACACGGTCAAACGAAATAATTGTCCCCCGTGTGTGTGCAAATTCACGTGGCCTGACCCAAACACCAATTGAGTCGCAATATACGACGTCGAAAACAAACCCGGGTTGCTGGGTTTGTAACGCAAGTGTGCTAACGACACAGAGACAAAGATCCCCCATATAGCCTTATCGTACATTTTGGGGCAAGTGCTGTTAGCAAGCATACATGAAGGCCGGCACTGCACACATGGGGGGGTGGGTTGCCAGCTCCACACCTGGCCATCTTTGGCTCCCGAGTGGCAATGTTTACACACTGCACCTGGTGCTCACTTTAGCCCATTTCGAGGAGGCTCAGGATCGGTTCAGATAATCGTCAGCGGTGTTGGCCGCGAGCGGGAATCAAACTCGGGCCGCCGGTTTCACGATAACCACTGCGCTACCACTAATGACGACAACAACAACCGCCGTTCGCCACCGAGTGGCGGTGACATCACCACCGTGCTTGTGCCAGGCTAAGTGCTCTTTAAGGCCACGTGGCAGGAAGTCACGGGACAGACCCAAGTGCCATGGCTAACGACACGCAGGCATTAACTCAGACACGCGCATTGTTCGTGCACGCACGCGCGCAGGCGATCGACGCGATGGACAACTGGGAGGACTTGACGGAGCTGGGTCATCACCTGTCAGACCTGCCCGTGGAGCCTCACCTGGGCAAGATGGTGCTGTACGGCGTCGTGCTCAAGTGCCTCGACCCCGTGCTCACCATCGCCTGCTCGCTCGCCTACCGCGACCCCTTCACGCTGCCCAGCCAGCCGGCGCACAAACGCGCCGCCGCCTTCTCGCGCAAGAAGCTCGCCGCTTCCACGTTCAGCGATCACATGGCCCTGCTCCGGGCATTCCAGGTGGGGTGGCGCAGGTAGCAGTTGTCGCGTGGGTGGCAGGGAGGGAGGGGTTGGTTGGGCACTGTTAGACTGGTAGTAACAATAATAGTGATTTGCATTTTATTGAGTGCCCTCTGTTAAACTGTGGCATTTCTTAGAGCGCTTTCCACGTGATAAGCGACATCCAGGATGAAGGGTTTTTTGTCAGTTATATTGCGTAAATATTAATGTGTTGTTAAATCGCCACCACCCAACACAGGAAATTAGTCAGGTTTGTCACATAAACAAAACGTGCAAATGAGTTATGTCTTCAGCACACCGGTGTGTTGGAGAGTATACCCACAACATTTACAATTCAAGTACTAACAAACCTTACTAATTGGCTGTGTCGAGTGGTGGTGGGTTTAACGACACATTTATATTTACGTGATCTAACCCAAATAAACCCCTTTTTTCTGGATATAATTTGTCACGAAAGCCTACTGCGTATTAAATTGATAGACGACTTACATCACACCTCATCCTGAACGCACTACAAAGGGGGGGGGGGGGCACCCCCTGTGTGGCAGCACAAGGTGGCTCGGCACCGTGCCGGCAAGCGGGATTAGTCTGCCAATAGTGGGCATCGATTTTGCTCCTGTACGTGTGATCCCAGTTGTGGTGTAATGTTTTGAAAGTGGCACATTTTGGAGCATGACGCAGTCAGCTTGACGCAGGGATACAATGGCCTACCCATTTTTTATGACGTCCGGGGATCTGTAACGTTCACTGAAAGGCAGGTGGCGTGTATTTTACAATTAATACACACCGCAGTAAAAAAAAAATATTTTACCAAGTGAGGCCCACTGAGCTACATAGCTCTTTTTCAGAAGCGACCTGGCCACAAATGATAGCCCAATAAAGTGGCCTATCATGTGGAAATGTATTGCAGCCAAATACTCGAAATACATGTTTCTAAATGTGGAGAGAAAAAACGGAGAAAACTCCACACGACCAAGGGGAGAACATGCAAACTCCAAATATACAGCAGCAGGCGTCAGGGTCAGGATCTAACCCACGACATCCTGTATACCAGGCGAGGTCGTTAACATCTCACAAGCAAAAACCGCGGGCGGCCTGCCAGATTTGAGCCGTGAACCTCTGCTACAAGCGCCAGGCGCGCTCCCGCTGGGCCACGTCACCGCCTCTTTGCTAAATAACAAAGAGACTGTTTGTGGGGAAAAACAAACTTGCCCCGTCACTGAAAAGTGTATTTCCGGTGCGCTGTCTCTGTGTCTCCGTCCTGCCAGGCGTGGCAGAAGGCGTGCGCCGACGGCTGGGAGCGCTCGTTCTGCGAGCGAAGCTTCCTGAGCCAGGGCACCATGGAGATGATCTTCGGCATGAGGTCGCAGCTGTTGGGTCAGCTGCGTGCGTCCGGTAAGACGAGCTGCATAGTCGACGCGACCGAGTGGCTCGGAAAGTTTCAGAGCGCCCAGCCGGCGCCGCTGTGATCCTGGGGTTCCAATCCAGGTTTCGGCTTCCTGTCTGTGATTAAACTGGCTTCTCAAGTGTAGCGAGTTCTTGGTCTTTGCCCGGCTACTAATGACTAACATAGAGACCGATAGACTCGCATAGATCCACAGACTCACATAGAGACCCATAGACTCGCATAGGGGCTCAGACTCACATGGAGGCCCATAGATTTACGGAGACCCGTAGACATTAGATTGAGATCCATAGTCTCACACAGACTTTGTTGTAATGATACCGGGTGCTCAAGTGTACCAAGTTGATGGTCTCAGCCTGGTCTCCAAATGACTGCACAAAAAAATCCCATAAAATTTGCTTCTGCACTTTATTTGGCTAAAATTTCAGCTCTGAGAATTTAACATTTCAGTTTGACCGTCTTGCAACGAATATTACTCTCATACGACAGAGCGGGTGTGAACCGGAGGTCACTTGAAATGGAGCTCTGTAGTAGCTCTGTGATATCCGCCTCCGTTGGTCGTTCTCCGTCACGACAGGTTGAGAGACTTCTGAATGGATTACGCATCTCATATCGATTTAAAGCTTTCGTGACTGCAGGGATTCATCTTCTTGTTTCTTTCGGTAAAGTCACGTAGAAGGGAAGTAATAAAATAATAAAAATAAAACATAATAAAACAATTCTCACGACGTTTCGGCTACAACGCAAGCAGCCGTCTTCAGGTGAAGAATGAGACACTACCAAACTAGGAGCTTATATATAAGCTGCATTAGGGGTTGAAGAGCGCCTTAACAAAAAGAATGTGCATGTGAAGAGGGATTTAGCATATTCATGGAAAATGCGTAGGCGTTGGGCGGGGGGGTGTCAAAGTCATATTATGCCCATGCATTATGCAGGATCAGCAGCAACCAAGGGGGGTGCAGGGATTAGCAGTAACAAAGGGAAGGAATGTTAATGATATGTAGCTGCAGTTACTCAACAACCACGTAGAAAACTAAAGTATAAACTACATAAAAAACTAAAGTATAAACTGCATCGCACCATCAGTATACTTACTATACTCTATAATAAGCTGAGTTACTAACAGCAAGTAATACATTACCATTCTACCTCGTAAAAATTCTATAATATGCTTCCATCTAGACCTTATTCTCTTACATCACACGAGCATATACCGTACTATATACTGCCATAGATAAACCCAACATTAAATTATATACTGTATTGCTGTAAACCAACCTATATCTTATACATTTAATATACACTATGTATTATTCTACACACCCTAATGTGTGTCGAAATGGTTTATTACGTCCTTCCAATGATTGCTGAGCCAGAATCCATCTTCTCGGTTAAAATTGTCTCTGTGTTTGTATATGTGGCTCGCCTCATGAACGAATCTCTCATGATAGCCAGATGGCTTGCAGAGAACCTCTGTCTTGGAGAAGTCAATATCATGTGAGCCCACTGAGTTGTAACAGTGATCTGCCACGGCTGAGGTGTTTGTCCTACCGTGTTTCAGGTCAGCTTTATGTTCACGTCCCATTGTCTCTACTATCAACTCCCCCACTTACAAACTGGCTCGTTTTTTGTCCGAAATCCTACGGCCTTTCACTGGAAAAACCACCTCTGCAGTACTAAACTCTACTGACCTGGTATCGACAATCAAGGGGATTGCCCTGTCCCCAGACGACCTGCTTGTCAGTTTTGATGTGGTTTCCTTGTTCACCAAGGTACCTGTGCCTGACACCATCGCAATCATTGAAGACTTGGTTCATCAAGGACTGAATGCTGGGGTACCCCCCCTGGTGAGACACTGCTTAACCAATACATACTTCACCTGGAATGGAACCTTCTACAAGCAAATTGAGGGCACCCCAATGGGCTCCCCCCTATCTCCGGTTGTAGCCAACATCTTCATGGAGAAATTTGAGACGGACGCTATCCAGACTGCCACTCTACGCCCGACCTTATGGAAGAGGTACGTAGACGACACTTTTGTCATCTGGCCACATGGCCGGCCTGCTCTAGACCAATTTCTCGACCACATCAATTCCATACACCCAGCCATCAGATTCACCATGGAAGTCGAAAATGATGGCAAGCTACCCTTTTTGGATGTCCTAATCAAAAGGAGACCTGATGGTTCAATGAGCCACTCTGTCTACAGGAAAGCCACCCACACGGATGCTTATCTAAAACCGGATTCCCACCACCATCCATCCCAGAAGAATTCCCTCATCAAGACTCTATATCATAGAGCCCAATGCATCTCCGACCATGAACACATTTCCAGTGAACTCAAACACGTACGCCAAGCTCTTAAGGCAAATGGTTACTCCGACTATACAATCCGCAAAGCCATCACTCCAACCATCAAGAAGGAATCCTGTTGAGGAGCCTTTCAAGACCATCACCTTACCCTACATTGCTGGGGTCACAAAAAAGATCTCCAAAATCCTGATTAAACACAAGATCCAGGTCCGATTCAACACAGTACATAAAAATCCGTGATCTGGTACCGTCTGTAAAAGATGTGGTTCCAGACATACAGTACCCTGGGCGTCTACAAACTAAGTTGCCTCTGTGGTAGCAGTTACATTGGGGAAACCAAACGACATGTCTCGACCGCATCCGTGAACATAAAGCTGACCTGAAACACGGTAGGACAAACACCTCAGCCGTGCAGATCACTGTACAACTCAGTGGGCTCACATGATATTGACTTCTCCAAGACAGAGGTTCTCTGCAAGCCATCTGGCTATCATGAGAGATTCGTTCATGAGGCGATCCACATATACAAACACAGAGACAATTTTAACCGAGAAGATGGATTCTGGCTCAGCAATCATTGTAAGGGACGTAATAAACCATTTCGACACACAGTAGGGTGTGTAGAATAATACATAGTGTTATATTAAATGTATAGAGATAGGTTGGTTTACAGCAATACAGTATATAATTTAATGTTGGTTTATCTATGGCAGTATATAGTACGGTTATATGCTCGTGTGATGTAAGAGAATAAGGTCTAGATGGAAGCATATTATAGAATTTTTACGAGGTAGAATGGTAATGTATTACTTGCTGTTAGTAACTCAGCTTATTATAGAGTATAGTAAGTATACTGATGGTGCGATGCAGTTTATACTTTAGTTTTTTATGTAGTTTATACTTTAGTTTTACGTGGTTGTTGAGTAACTGCAGCTACATATCATTAACATTCCTTCCTTTGTTACTGCTAATCCCTGCACACCCCCTTGGTTGCTGCTGATCCTGCATAATGCATGGGCATAATATGACTTTGACACCCCCCCGCCCAACGCCTACGCATTTTCCATGAATATGCTAAATTCCTCTTCACATGCACATTCTTTTGGTTAAGGCGCGTCTTCAACCCCCAATGCAAGCTTATATATAGCTCCTAGTTTGGTAGTGTCTCATTCTTCACCTGAAGACGGCTGCTTGCGTTGTAGCCGAACGTCGTGAGAATTGTTTTATTATGTTTTATTTTTATTATTTTATTACTTCCCTTCTACGTGACTTTACCGAAGAAACAAGAAATGCATCTCATATCACGATACTTATAGCAACAGATAGGATGATAGTGAGGATGGGTTTGGAAAAAAAACTCCGACTATATTTGTAGTCCGTTTCTTTCTTATTTGTTGAAAATGTGCACTAACTCTCCTGGCAGGGGTGGCAGCAGGCACAGGTGGCAACACTTGTGCATCACAGCAAACAGGGTCTGGGTTCGATTCTTGGGTTTTGGCCGACTTTCTGTGTGCAGTTTATATGTTTTGTAACGGTTTCCTCTGGTTTCCTCTGATTTCCTCCCATAGTAAGTAAATAAGATATCACATAAAAATGGAACTGATATTGTCAACATGCCAATGCTGTAAAACAATTACATATAAATTACTCAAATTGGGATCACACAGCACAGCAACATCATCGCACCTCTACTGAAAAAACTTGGCAGGCCCTTCTGTGCCACGGTGCCAAGATTGTACTACCTCGCCTGGTATACAGGAGGTCGTGGGTTTCGATTACGACCCTGACGCCTGCTGCTGTATATTTGGAGTTTGCATGTCTCTCTCCCTGTGGATTTTTCTCCGGGTCCTCCAGTTTTTCTCTCCACATTTAGCATCAATATCACACCTTAGAGTAGTTGGCTACTGCTTATAAATTTCGGGCATGATGGTAGCCACTGTTTGCGCAAATCATTTGTGGCCAGGTGCTTCTGAAGATAGCGATATAGTTCAGTGGGGCCTTAACTGGTAAAATAATTTTTTTACAGTTAAGTTTTAAATAATCTTTCTTGTGTAAGCCAGCGTCACTGACAGTCATACCACTAATAATGATCATAATAATCGCGCGTCAGGTTTCGTGCGGGCGAGAGGCGGGGGCGACATCCGCGACCTCAACACGAACTCGGAGAACTGGCCGGTGGTGAAGGCGGCGCTGGTGGCGGGGCTCTACCCCAACGTGATCCACGTGGACCGCACCAGCCACACGCTCACCACGCAGCTCGAGCGCAGGGTGCGCCTCCACCCTTCCTCCGTGCTCGACCAGCCCGGCTTCAAGAAGGTACCACCGTGTGTGTGCGTGCGTGCGTGCGTGCGTGTGCGGCGTGTGTGTGTGCGTGCATGTGTGTGTGCGCGCCCTGCAGCTCCGTCCGTGGCAGGGGGGAAGACGGGGCGGCGCGGTTGGGGGGATAAGGCTGGAATCTCGCAGCCAGAAGGGTTTGATTCCCGACTCGGGAGACTTTCTGTTGCGTCGAGTTTGTGCTGCCCGAGTTCGATTCCCGCTCACGGCCAACACCAGTGACGATTATCTGAACCGGTCATGGGCCTCCCCAAGGTCGACCCAGCCTCAAATGAGTACCTGGTGCGGTGTAAAACATCGCCACGAGGGAGACAAAGGTGACAAGGTGTGGTCTTGACCACCCACTGCTTAGTGTGCCGTTACGGCCTTTATAGATGCTTGCT